GAGACTTCCCAGCATCAGAAGCACCATAAAAAGATAACGATAAAAATTGCCCCCTTCATTCTCTGTCAAGTGCCGAGGGCGGCTGGGATCGGCGGGATGGGGGGAGGGGATGTTGTAGTTAGACATCGATTGGAGATTAGGCCGGTTTGCACAGCATTGCTTTGGGGAAACGCCCACATGGGCGCGAGCGGCCCGTGGAAGCAGCAGACGGAGGGGTCAGATATCACCGCCCAAACGTCCTGTGTCTGCCAGGGCTTTGATGGAGCACTTAGCAGCCCTGGTGACCCATATGCCCCCCCCCCCCTCTGCTCAGTTTGTTTGCTGGTATAAGGACCCAGCAGACTGAAGGAATCGCACTACAGGAATCCTCTGGCGGGGATCCAGGAATCTCAAGTGAAGCGGCACCTCTGCCGCCTTTTATCCGTGCATTTTACGAGCTCCAGCTCTAACGATGCTTTCATTACGATCGACAGGAACGTCGTTGGCCAGCGGCTCGCTCTGGAGCAGCCTGTTGTATTTTACTTGGGACAGTTAATTGTTAGGAACTATTAGAGTTTTTCTCTCCCTTATTTTCTCTCCCAAGTATATGGCCAGCGTGTGCGTGATGTGACGGATGTAGCGTTTGCTGTGCCTCCGCAATGAGTCAGAACAGCCCTCTTTCAAGGACTCCCCTGTTTACTTTGTGTCTGTATTAGTCCAAAGTGAATTAGCTTAATGTGTCTTGGGTTTGTTTAAACTCATTCACCCACAGGCACAGAAGGCAACAAATTAGCGTTGTTTGTGCATTTAAGCAGCTTAATAAACGGCTCTCCTCAACTTCTGCTGGAAGTGCCATAGTTTTTTTTAAAGGTTTGGTGTGATGATGGGAAGACCGACCTGGGAAGTGAGCTGTCTTCCAGTTCCCCTCCATCAGCACCCTCCCGAGTGAAGTCCCCCCCCCGCCATTTCATCCGTGCGCCTGTCAGGGGCCCCTTGGCCTGACCGCCCTTGGCTGTTCTCATCTGAAACCTCAAATCAAAAGGCAATTGATCAGCACTTGCCAAACCCACGCCGATACACATGCAGATCTGTTACACCCTAGAGAGGCTTTTTTAAAAAAATTAAAAAAAAACAGGCTAACCATTTAAAAACCTTTTCCTGGTAAACGCGGCCACATGTGTCGCAGCAGAAGCCCGCCCTGGGGCCGGGTACCAGTGGGTGTGATCCTTTGTGTGAGACGTCAAAAGCGCCGCTTTGGGCAGCGTGTGCTAGCTGGTGATTTAGCAGCGCGTCTGCGTTGTGTTCCGTTAAATGCGCTTGAGAGACGGGTGCATTTGGCCTCGGAGGAGGGCAAGAAAAGGGGGGGAGCTTTTCATACGAGTTACCAAGTGGAGAGAGAGAGAGAGAGACAGAGGGCACTGGGAGGAGAGGGCAGTGTTAGATTGTCTGCTTGCAAAGACCAACGCTCAGTGACTTTGGCGAGTATGTGACACAGTAGTTAAGGAAATGGGAGTTGAAGCTGGTTGGGGTCCCAAAGGGGCTGTACCAACATACCCCTGGGCCCAGCGTTTAACTTGGATCTCGTTAACTCTGGTGACATGTTTGGCTGTATAACCTGGCATAGGTAAGGTTGGGTGAAAGCTTCTGCCAAGCTAAATGTGAAATATGGAGGGAACAAATTTTGTGCCAGAATGGCCACCAGCACCCTTGCATGGTTCATGTCTCTCATCTCGGAGATTGTTGCGGAGCTTTGATGTGATGCTCGTACTTATAGGGGAAATGACAGGTTTACAAGCTCTTCTCAAAGAGGTCTTGTTGGGTCACTCTCCACCTAACAAACAGGAAGGAAGTGAGCAGAATGTCCCAAACAAACATAAAAGGTACACAAAGCGTGAGCTTAAAGCTGCCAAAGGAAGACATTTCATTAGACACTAACTCACAGTTAAGCCTCTTTGAAAAACAAACAGACTATTTCAGTTCATACTGCTAATCCTGCTCTGTGCTCTGCAGTAATGTCTTGCAGTTGTGTGCTGATGTTCGCTGTCTCATTCCTGAATTTTGTTTGTTCCACATTGTGAACTCTGGGGGGGGGGGGGGGGAGCGAGGTGGGGGGGAGGGGTTGCATCGTGTTATGAAAATTCACTCCGTGGGTAGGCCGTCTGAGCTTGGTTAACATATCATGCCGCATTACACGGCCCCTTTGCTTGTGTGTTTGTGTTCCTTTTCTGTATGGGATCAGATAACCACATGCCTCCCTTGGCCTCCATCGCACAAGACGAAAGCCACTGTAGCTGTAGTGTGCGAGTAATTAGCTTCCATCCACAGAAATATAATTACAGAGTGCATTTCGGCCTGCGGAATAGTGCAGGCCTTCTCCTTCCAGGTTCCGTGGCATCCTGGAAATGCAGTATTGGGGCTGGAGTCGCTCGCGTGCCAAACCGGCACCGGTCATCCGATAGGCTGTGAGGTTTCCCATCCCACTACAAAGAAAGCTTCCGTATTGCGGACCGGCGTCCGGGGCTTACTGCGTTGGGACTGTGATGAAACGGTGCATGGTGTGATGTCGTCTCTATGGCAACGGGGGAGCCCGCGGTGTGTGGCGTACAGTAGGAGATGAGGGGTCTGTTTATCTTGAGATTGCTGTCCTGGTTTCTGGGCCCCTCATGTGACACACAGACATGCCGTGACCTCACACTGCCTCTCTCTCCACTCCCCTCTCATTTTCAGCTTCCTCCACCCCACGGGCCAAACCCGCCCAGTGGCCTGAGCTCACGAAAGCCACACTAACGTGCAAAGACGAGAAGGCGTTTGTGAAGTGTGGAGGTCCTGGCTTCTGATACGCTCAACGCATCTGACTGAGGCATCCGTACAATAACTGTTTTCTGCTGATTCGAAATTCTGTTCCGTAATGCGGTCTGAGGTTAGCAGGAGAATGGGGCCTGGGGGGTGGGTGGGTGGCGGGGGTATGACCTCTGGATATATCCCCGTAAATTCCCGTGTGCTTGTTCCCCAGCCATGTGATGTTGAGTTTTGGCCGTGATATGTGCGGGTTTGACATGCCGGGAATGTGTGTGTTATTGGGTGGGTGGGACGGGTTTTATGTCGCGTGTGGGAGTCCGGAAAAGCTGTGCTGTACATCCTGCCCGCGGTGGAGCAAGGTCACGCTCCAGCACGATGAACCGGCGTTCATTACCGCAGAGCAGGCCACGCTAATCCGGATATGTGATTCATTAGCTGCAGAGGAGAGCGCGTGGCCGTAATTACCGGAACCTGGTACCGAATCACGGCTCAATTTCCAAGAGAGGGATGGGTCAGGGAAGGAGAACGCGGGCAGAACTGCGTCTAAATGATTTTAATTAAAACCTTCAAAGACCTTCTGAAATTCACGGCTGACGGAATGGGGCGTCTTTCTCTTTTTTCTCGACGGAGGCTCAGATAAGGAGGTTTCTCTGTGTTTTCTAGATGACAGATGGGATTTTGGAGGAAAGAACATGATACTTCCAGCATATCAATAGCAGATATTTGTACAGTACAGTGAATTCCTTGGAGGTGGGGGGGGGGGGGGTTTAGAACATGCTTCAGATTCCAGAAAGCCTGCTTTACGATTGTATGAAACATGGAGTAGAGGAACGTCAACTTTTGGCATGTTTTTGTTGGCTTACAGCGATAAGCAAACAAGTGAAGCCTGCTGATGCTTCAGCTGCTGTTGAGGCTGGTCTTCTCTCTGAGTGAGCGAGCTCTGATGAAGATCACAGTGGTAGGTTAGGGTTTGTCCGAGATAGAATGGAAGTCTCTCATTTCAGCAAAAGATAACAATCTCCACCTAACCTAACACAGGTGATCTACTATTGCTTGTTAGGCAACAATTCTAAGTAGCGGGAGAACGTTTTTTCGAGTGGAGAGGTGACCCAAAGTAGCTCCAGATGGGAAACAATGAGATCTGAATCAGTAATCCAGATGTTCAGTAGATCTCAGAGACCATTTTCCACTGGGTCCCTCCTTAGATGTCCGATTTAGATCTCGAGGAGGACTAGGTTGCACCTGTGTGGTCCTCAGGGCTTCAAGCTGTGGTTGTAGGACAAAGTTGTTCCGTTATGCTGTGTTGGTGACTCTGAGGTTCCATCACATTGAGAGCAGCAGAAAGAGCATCCAGCCCAACCCAAGGCTCACCGCGTGAAATCAGCCCTTAGATCTCAGATGTTTGTGAAGGTCACTCATGCCAGATACATTCGTTTCTAGGGACTGTAATGAGATGTTGGGGTTGACATGAGGCAGCGAGTTTTTAATTGCGCGTTATACGTGGTTGTAGTGTTGCAGAGGATTGGCAGCTCTGGAACCCCCCCCCAGAAGCCTATCTCCTTCGTGATTAACTGAGAGCCTTCAAAGGGGGGGCAGCTGAACAGCCCCAGGACATTCAGTTACCCGGCAATCAAACCTGTAATCTTATTGTAGGAGAGAGATCGCAGACTCGCTGGAATTGGGGGTGGGGGGGGGTTTAGGGACCATGTCCAGCCTGGGAGCGTTTACGCTCCCCACTCCAGAAAACCTCCCATACAGTCACGCAGAAAGTGATTGCTGTTAAGAATCAAAATTGTTCCGTTTTATTTATACTGGCAAAAAAAAAAGTTCACTGTTGTTCCAGAGATGGGGTGGGGTGGCTGTCGCCATGTGGTTTTTGTTCTGCTAAAATTTAAACCATTTGTTTGTTTGTTTTTTTCCCCCCCGCCTGCCTCTTTTCGGTTCTTGTAGAATCAGATGTTAATGAAAAAGGCACAGATCCACCCCCCGCCCTCTGGGTCCAACTTGGCTTGGAGGTGCTAATGTTAGTGTCAAAGAAGCCAGCATCACGCATAAACCCCTGTGGTGGCAAGTTTACTCTTCAGTTCGAGAGCCGAGATCTTCAGAGCTCAGAGGCTCCTTGTGTGTGATCTGCTGGCAGAATGAGTCACAAGTGCTAATAACAGACCCGGATTCTCAGGTGCTCGCATTTGACTAAGACGGGGTCTCTGCTTCTCTTCCAGAGTGCTACACCGCCAACGGTAAGGACTATCGGGGACGGCAGAATCAGACCTTCCTGCAGGGCGGGAAGCCATGTCTCTACTGGAACGAGACGCTGCAGCACCCCTACAACACCGTCAAGTACCCCAACGGCGAGGGCGGCTTGGGGAAGCACAACTACTGCAGGTGAGCAAGGTGGCACCATGGCAAGCCGATCCCAAGGAGGGACACTTCACTTATACCTTCACGTTCTTAGAGGGAGCAAAAATCCATCCTGCAAAGCACCCTTAACGTAGTAAACTGTACTGTATACTTTGTGAAATTGTATGATTTTTGTTTTAGTCATTTATTCTGCTAATCTATTGAACGGCATATGCTCTGATGAAGTTGTTCACCCTAAATCATTAACTAAACGGAAACTCTAATGCCCACTGCAACGTGAACGAAAGCCAAACAGAACTGCAGAGAAAAACGTTCGGTTTTTGTGTTTTCACTGCATGAAACACGGTCCTTAAAAAGCGTGAGCATCCCTCCTCTGCTGCGAAATCATAGTCACCCCGTATCTCTCCTTAAAAGCACTTTAGCTCCGCATGAAAGTTTGAGCGCTTCCAGCCAGCAGTTCTGATCAGCATGGGCCTGGTGCAGAAAGCAGATCCATGCCGGCCAGTAAAACAGCGGTTCTACCAAGAATGAACAAATTGGATAAACGTCCCGTCACCGCTGCCTGCTTGATGGGAATGACTGAATTTCCCAGTTACTGCTTTACTGCACAATGTTGATGGCACACAAACAATCGCCGCGATGCTAAATTCGGCCCTCTTCGCTACTTTTACGGGCTATAAATATGTGAGGGTTTTGGCATAAACGTCAGATGTTCTAAATCCGAGTGCGGGCATGGATGTGTTATATAAGGCCACGTTGCGGCGCCCCCTAAAGCACAAATGGTGGTTTGCATGCGCTGTCCTCACCTGCGCTGTTCTCCTTCCCGGCTCGTATTTTCTTTGCCAGGCGATGAGGGCGGAGGGGCGAAATACTTTTGTCTTCGTGCACCGGGTAGAACAAACGTTCCAGAAATCGTATAGGAATTGTGCCGAGGGGGACAATGAGCACGGTGTTGACCTTCCGCACGGGGGGGGGGTCAGCCACATGTCGCCTCGCAGAGGGGGCCGCACCAGGCTCCTCATTTTTCCCTGTAAGTTGTTTACATTTGCATATCTCTGCCATTTTTGGTTGGTATTTTTATATCTTAATTGGGCTGGTTGTCTACCTGCTTCAAGCTGAACCGGTTTAAGATTTCGGAATGAGCCTTACGAAGGAGCATCGCCTGAAGCGCGCTGTCAGGCCCGTTCTCCATAAGCCCGCCTCCTATCGCTCCACCTCCTATCGCCCGCCTCCTATCGCTCCACCTCCCGGCCTGCATCGTTTGCGTCTCCTCCGGTGATGGCAGTTTTAGGGCTTCTCCTCTAGCTAGCACAGGGCTCCGGATTCTACCTGCCCTCCTCCTAGACGAAAAGTCAGCTGAAGGCGAACTGAAACCCCCCCCGCCCCCCCACTCCAATCACCAGAGGGAGTTCACGGTGAAATTGGAGGAGCACCGCGAGGTCCTGTGCGTGAGGGAAAGTCCGGGGTTACAGTGCAGGTGGACGGTTTCTGTATCCGTCCCGTGAATTGTGACCCTCAAAAGGCATTTTATAGCATGATAGTATCTAAATTGCATGGGGGGGGGGGCTGGTTATGTAAGGAGAGGCTGTAAAGCTCTCCACATCCCATTGTGGGCGCTTGCTGGGCTGCTGTACTTCAAAGGCGCTCTGGGAACTTGCTGAGAGACCTCATAACCTCTGTATTTTATCTTTACTGCCTCACCGTAAAAAACTCATTGGAAAACGCAGAGAAGGCAACAAATCACCGCCTTCCCCGAAGAGTGACGGAGCTCATTTTATGTGGAAAAGCAATTTCCAGATAAGACACCTCACAGCCTGACATTTATTGATGTGGGACCACGTGCAAAATGCCATAATAATATCTTTTTAATTATGCAAAAACTAATTGCATTTCTAGGGACTAATTGCATTCCTTGGGAGATGTTAACAGCCCCCCAGGATTAAGTTGTTTGCTTTCATTTATAATGTGAAAATATTAATAGGTGTCCCATATTCAATCAGCTTGGCCCAGTATTTACTCTTCTGAAGTCCGCATGACAGAGTGACTCCTTACCATCCCCAGCCATTCCATTGGGCGGGTCCTTCTAAAACTTCTCTGTTTTATATTTTTATCTTGTTACCCAATATGCATATTAAAGAATTTATACAGATAGATGTTTCACCTACTACAGTCCTATTCGGGGGGTCATTTGCCATATGCTCTGTGTTCCTGAAATAGCTTCCAACCTCCCCAGTACTGGAAATGTGGTTAGACGATGGATGGATGGGTGGATGGATGGATGGATGAATGGGTGGATGGATGGATGGATGGATGGATGGAGTTTTACCTTTCTCGGGATTGGAACAGACGGGTGCATAGAGGCTGAGGTTACACCCACTAGCCAAAGATTCAGTTCCTCTCCTGTGCTCCACACACAATCACCTGCCATCTGTCAGTCACCTGAATTCATAAACACCCCACATTTTTCATACAGACTCCCTCGGGGTCTCATTAAAACGGCCTTTTGTTGTTAGTATTAACAATTGTTTTTCTAAATTGTCATTTAACACTGCAATGAATTGCCCATTGTCCTCTTCTGAAGCTCTGCATTCTGCATGAGGGTTTCTGACGTAGCCTCCCCGTGTCCTCAAACATCTCACAGAGTGTGAGATTTGGCTGACTTAAGTCACGCCTGCAGCCGAGGGATTTCACTCTCAGTCAAAACGTTTAAGCAGTATGCCAGTCAAGCCCGGTCACAAGGGTTGCGTATTTTCTATCCTCCGCTGGCATGCTACCCATAAGTCACATGACACCTCGCGGACCAATCGGAAGCATCCTGAGCCAGTATATTGGGCTCACTTTGGGCCACTGGCTGTTTAATGCATAAAATATGTCTTTTCTTCTCTATAACGAGCTACCAGAACATAAACTGAGCTCAGTCCTCCTAGCAGTGTTGAAAGTCTTCGGAGAAGAAACACATTATTTCCATTATTTAGAAAAAAAAAGAAAATGCTTTTCTACATTTTATGGTTGTAGAATCTGGACGTTTATAGCCCTAACCCCCTTTACCAGAAACTTTAAAGTTAATAATAAATTTTATGATTACAGCACACTGAAAATGGATTATTTAAAGCCTTTTGAAAATGACCCAGTCGCAGGCAGCGTTATTCGTCTGGTCGGACCCAGGCCCACACGGCCTGCGGGTCCCCTGGCAGCTAACGGCTACACACGAGCACGCTGGAGGCCTGAGGGACAGGTCTGGGGGCCACAAACCCCAAATATAGCCAGACTTGCACCTCAGAGGGTCAGCTGATACCTTTAATCAAGGTGAGCAATGCAGTGATTCCAGCAGTGTGGAATAAGGGTTTAACAGCAGTGCCCGTCCTAGAGCAAGGCGAGGTTTACATTATGGTCTGTACCCATTGTTGGCTCTTCCCCCCTACGGCGTTTGGGCTCCACTCACGTTTTCCCTACATCTGGGCTGACCTGACCCTGCACCATGTTGAAGCGTTTCCCTCTACCTTGCACTGGGAATCGCTTTTTTCATCTGGCCCCCGCAAGCTGTCTGGCATAGAAAAATGTTCTGCAAGTTACAGTGGCACATGAAAGAAATGCTATTTGTGATAATTTTTTTTACGGCCCTACCTCCCCCCGTGCACCGTTCCATACAGGGCCTGCAGGCCAAAACTCGGACCAACTGGTGATCAAAGCATTTTTCTCGATGGGACAGGAGTTATTTAATTTCCACTGCACGTTCCTGGTCCTTGGCCTTTCGGGTAATTATCACAAAAATGAGGGCCTGATTGAATGTGCTGGGATTGGTGATGGTCCTCCCCCCCCCCCCCCCCCCCACCCCCCAGTGATTTCTCTGGACCCATTCAGCGTGTCTCTGGACACCATATGCCTCAGTAATGTGAACACGACGTCTGATGTGATTATTTCTATTTTTTTTTACCCCGCACGTGTCTTAGATGTATATCTGCTGGGCCAAAGATGTTATTAATTAGGTTCAATTTAGCATTAAAGTGTTCTGCTTTTAGTTACATATTGTTGAGATATATATATATATATATGGTGGGAAAATGCATGCATTTGTCAGCAGCATTTAACTTTTAAACATGCTTCAGACCTGTTCAGATATTCAGGGTAGATTATTTACATCTCAGATTTTTGTATTTTCACCAATGTTTTTATTTCATCTTTAGTCTGAAATTCGCTCTTTTCCAGCAGTAAAGAGAGCAGAGCCCATAAAGAGTCGAGCTGGCCTCTCGCTTCCTGCTGCCTTTTCTGGAAGCACACGAGGGACACGGAAGCACCATTCAGCTCCGCCACCACAATAGGAGTAATGGAATCCCTTAAGCCATGGGGCCTTTTAGGATGCTGTGTTATATTACACGGCGTGGGGGGGGGGGGAGTGCAGAGGTGTCTTTCTTGCCTTTTGATAGCTCCTGGAGTTTGCTGCCCGTTCCCCAAAGACAGAAACGGAGCTTCTGGAACATGTTAGTGCATTTGTTAGGGGGAGGGGGTGTGCTCTAGGGGGCAGCTGAGCCTCTCTTTAGCCTTTCCCAGTGCCATGACTGACACCAGTGGTCGAACCCCTATAAGGTATCCGAGTGGTTAGCAGATAGGTTGGGGGGCAGGCAAAATATACTCCATTTTCTCCGTGACAGTGACTCATTTATGTGGTTCCTCTACCCCGCCCCCCCAACAGGAACCCAGATGGTGACGTCAGACCCTGGTGCTACATTGCAGACCACGAAGACGGAATCTACTGGAAGTACTGCGATATCCCCACCTGCCGCAGTAAGTGGGTCACCTGGCGCCCACCACACGTCATTCCAGAGCTGGGCCCCACAAGCTCTGGGAATCTCATCTTCTGGAGAGTCCTCTCCTTTGCATCTGGCTGCTTGGGGAGCCATCGCAGTTCTGTTTAGAAGCAGAGGCGTGCAGGTGTTTGTGTCTGTGAGCTCTGAAGCTTTCATCTGCCTGCTCTGACTGGCCGTGTAGCGATGGTGAACAGGAAGGTGCCTCTGATTACCGCACCTACGCTGTTTGCGATGTGCCCGGACACGTCCCTGCCAGACTTCTGATGTTGCGCTCGGAGTGCCTGTGCGTGTTAACCCCAGTCTAACGGTCTCCACGGCCTTTGCGGGTGTGTCTCTCTCCTTACCTGCCAACTCCACCCATCTACTCCATACCTTCGTGTTCCCCTGTAGCTGCTCATGAACCCAGCCAGGTTTCAGCAAAGCGACACCCCCGCCCCCCCCACCAGAGTCCGCCTTCCCCATGCTCCCCCCCCCGGATTCCATCGAGAGATCACGCCCATAAGATTACTTTTCACCTCAGGATGCCTTCACTGTCATTTTTGATTAAATTGATCCCGTTCCAGGGCGTTGTGTGGAATCATGGGAAAGCGTGCGAAGATGATCACACAGCTCTACCCCGCGAGTGCCAGAGAGACGGAGGCCGGTCCATCGAAGGGATTTGCGAAGGGTTAACTCTCTGAGTGATGAGACCTTTAATATACATTTAATGCAATCCAAAGATTACAAATAGCATAATGTCATCAGGAAAAAATTACAGATTATTTGTTTGTCTTTTTTCCTGGGGGAATAACTGATGCACATTTTGATGAATTAGGACCTCAATAAATCAAGCACTGAGGCTTCTGGGAGGTCTGGCATTGCCCCGCCCCCTTAAACACCCACCCATCCGTTTGAGCGTGTCACTCTGCTAGCCTAGCCTGCTGTCTCCCTGGAAACCGCCTGAGACACTAATGGGACGTCCCCAGTGACGGCTGCTTGGGGCCTCGTCCTCGGGGGCGCCGAGGGATACGGACGACCTACTTTGCGGAAGCGTCCCTTTCTGCAGCCCTGCGGGATGCCAGCTGCATTTCCCGCAATTACGGGAGCGGCGCTGTCCCTGAAGGGGAGCCATGTCAATTTCCCCGCCTCGATCCCATTAAGGGGCTCCTTATCTGTGGAGAATCGAGGTCACACATTTTACCTAGCCGCCCGTCATGTTCCTGCCACTGTGACCTCACTGTGTCATGTCACGCTGTCATGGACATGTCAGGGTCAAACGTTTTAAATAAAATATCAAAAAATTATATATTTCCCATATACTAGTCACAAATTCATCAGACAGGGTACCTGTAATACAGTCTCATTATATTTTATGACCATATATTTTATAAGGTCTTGTCCTACTGATTTGCTTCTGACTGCGTAACTGTGTTGTGTACCACCATTTCGGCTTGTATGTGTCCATCCCTCCGCGGCCGTAAGGTGCAAATTTCACTGCCTCTCCACACCAGTGTCCCCCCCCCCACCCCAAGCCTGCAGCAAGCTGCTGGGACACTTGTTTATTTCGGAGACTTGTTTTGAAAGAAATATACATCTGTCGCTCCCTCCCTCTCTGGGGGCTCCTTGCCCATTTCTGTGTCTGGGTTCGAGCAGGCACTGCCGTGTGACCCCCCCCCCCTTCCGGAGCTCCACATGGGCTCCATCATGGCTGTTTTATTTATTCATCTGCATTTTACGCACCAGTTCTTCCTCTGGGCCCCAGGCGCTATGGCCCAGTGCCGTCCACTCTTTTGTCCCAGACAAATTTTCCAGCCCCCCCTCCACTCTTAATGGAGCAGAGTAGATTGGGGCCTGTAACAGACGGTTATTTAATCTCTGCACTGATTTATCGTGACGCTGACTTAGGTGCTTTCGCGTTTTTTTCCTCAGGGCGGTGCTTCATTGTCCCCCTCCGGGGCGTCCAAGTTTAATGGCCTGTAAACAATGAGCCTGATATATCACTCGCGTGTCTCGGGAGAAAATCGCGGCGATGTCTCCCCCAGGACAAAGCCCGGGATTGTGCACTGGGCCATCCTGGACCGGCACCTCCCAGTTGGGTCTCTGCTGGGTTTCTCTCACGGTCCGTTCATAATCTGTTTCCTGTGCGCCTTTGATACCCAACAATTGAAGTGTAGACGAGCTGCAGAATGTTTTATCCTATTGAACAGACAGGTTTTTACTGGCTAATTGTTAGGGAGCATTTCTGAAGGGACCCGAACAGAAGGCCCTTTGCCTCTGCTCACAAAGGCAGCAGATCTCTGCAGCCTGAAAAGCAAAGTCCCCGCCGCTCTAAGCGGCTTCCATCCACACCTCGCTGCTCTTCTGACGCGCTTCCGTTCGCACTGTGATTAAAACACTGCAGACAAAACATATGATGGAATACCTTGGAAAACTGCTGCTCAGAAAAGTGGAAGGCCAGTTTTTAGAGGCGAGTCAGGTAATGTATACCACAGCTGCCTCAGCAGCCTCACTAATTTAGCTATTCAAGTCCGTGCTGTGTTCCTAGGTTCCGGATTCGTTTATTCAATTGTCGGAATTAAATCTGACAGTCATTTCATTCCTAAGAACCTATTTCCAATACCTGCTGTGCACAGTAGCACATTTTGGTGACAAGTTTTATTTTTATTATTTTTTTAAATTTATGACCTTTTCTGACTGGAAGATTCTGCAATAAAGCTTTTGTGAGCTTGTGAGGAATAATCATCAAAAAAAAATAAAATCTCTTTGCCATAAAAATTCCACAAATGAACTCCAGGCTAGGTATATATTGTCTGTACTGCATGATTGGTGGGACCATGAAAATTGATTGCTTTTTCACAGAAATGACTATGCATACATTCCCATTCAATAAATCAATCAAAATTTATAGACCCCTTTATCACGATGAGTTTGACAGTGATTAGCAGTAAATTTTCCAGAAGGAGTTGCAGGATAGGGAAGGAAGAACTCAGATGTACTCTTGACTTCTTTATAGGAGATGATGGAGTAGTAACAGATACAGAGATACAGTACCAGTCAAAACTTTGGACACGCCAAACCGCCTAGAAAGGAGAGCGATAGTGTCACATCACATGACCTGGCCACCTGACCTAAACACAGCAGAGATGGCTTGGGAGGAGTTTGACCAGACAGTGAAGGCAAAGCAACCAATGAGTGCTCAGCATATATGTGGGACCTCCTTCAGGACTGCAGGGAAAGCATCCCAGGAGGCACCTCATGAAGCTGAAGGGGACAGGAGGGTCAGACAGTGTCCCTGAAGCAGTTGGGGTTAAGGGCCTTGCTCAAGGGCCCAATGGCGGGATCATGCCAGTTTTGAACTAGCAACCTTCTGAGTCCCAACCCACAGAGCTGCCCCAACCTGCCCAACAAATTATTATTTTTTTATTTAATAGTTTTTTGATCAGTGCATAATTCCATCTATGTTATTTTATAGTTTTGATGTCATTATAATTATTCTACAGTGCAAAGAATAATGCAAATATACCTTTTTATGAGTAGGTGTGTCCAAACTTTTGACTGGTACTGTATGTCCGACAGTGATTCGTTTGCCGTAAGTGTCACGGCAGCCAGATCAGCAGCTTCCTAACTTCATTTATGATTGAAACTATGTTGGATTATGCAAAAAAGTCAGAAACATTTTGTTTCATATAATTTAGCCTGGAGCTAGTTTGGATTATCTTTATTTTACTGAAACTAACACCGGTGTTGTTTATATTATATATATTCAGTGTTTTTGCACTGTGATTATCTGATGACGCCGTTTGAATGCTTTTGATTTAAATATGTTTATTTTAAGCTTCATCCAGCAGCGTTACAAGAAATTAGCATTAGCTAGTTTTAATAATTGTTTTATGTGACTAATCATTGCTTCTCCAGTAGTTTCTTATCTGTGAATGTCACGGTAGCTAATTTATGTAAATCCTCTCTAAGTTGAGGTCATTGGATTTGTTGGTTCACCTTGGATCGCTGTTTTGTCCTTCGTAGTATTGAAATTTGCATTTGGTTTGTTTTAAAGATGGAGCCTAAAGAATAAGAAGCTGAGAATTAATCAGTCAAGCTCGTGGTGCTACTGTTTGTGGCCTCTAATCAGCAGTGTAGTTAACAAGAGCCTGACAAGTCAGCATATGGATACAAGGGGAACAAGGGTGAGATGAAGGTAGTGTTTTGCTTTTGAAATGCGATCATGGTAATTAAATGTTAGCACCAGTGCTCTCTACGCGCCCTCAAAGGCACAACACAGAATATGGAGGGCATGCTTGTAAGGAAGGGGAATTACTTCTCCATAAACTCCTCCCTTTAACATTGGAGTGGAGGGGGAGGGTGATTATTGTCGGCTGTTTTGAAGCACCAATCTAGCTGTAGAAGAAGTTGGACCTGATAGAGAGGGAGGTGGTCTGTGTGGCTCCCCGGGATTATGGAGAACCTGCTGGTCACTTTTACATGCTTTTTCCAAGAAAAGCTTATGCTCAGAAAGCATCCAGAAGCCCTGGAGCAGCTGGGGTCACGATTACGCTGCCAGCCATGGGATTCAAACCGACAACCTTTGTAACCAGGCACAATCCCTATGCCAGCAAGCTACACAGCGTGTCATGAGCAAGGAAACAGACCAGTTTGTCTTATATCCTTTAAAAGGAGTTGGATACACAGCCAAGAGGTATATTGTGGGGTTTCCATATGCTTCTAAGGCAAGCTTTTCAGTGAAAAGGCTTTATAGCGTCGACGGCATTCAGTGGATCACACCGTAAACAGGCCACACCAGCCCCATCTGGTTAAACCGCCGAGGAAACTGTGATCCAGACATGGGTGCAGATGCTGTAGGTCGACTGGCTGAGACCCTCGCTACCGGGCCCCAGCTACCGGGCCCCAGCTACCGGGCCTGGTCCTATCTGAGCTGGTTTCCCTCTGACCCCAGAGACCCTTAACTTTAGGCCTGGGGGCAAAACCCTACTCTAGTTTGCAGGCAGGTAAAAAAAAAAAAGAAAAGAAAGAAAGAAAGAAAGCCTAAAAAGAATGCTGTAAAGGAGCCCCAATGAGAGAGAAAACGAAACATCAACAGGATCCCTATCTTGTCGAGGCGGTTTAGTATAACAGAGGCGTATGATGCCTTGAGTCATGTCGTTATGAAAACAACAGAGGGCACATTTCTCAGTGTCGTACAATGTTCGAGTGGCGTGTCGGTCTGTGGTGACCTACCATCGCTGTGGGGGGACACTGTCTCCCATTACACGGGGGTAGCCCCAGTTAGTTATCACAATGTATCTCAGTCCCAACCGGTTGTTCTAGCTAAGGGATTACCCAATATAGCCATGGTGTTTAATCACTAACGAATCATTTTGCATGCCATAGGCGCTTTGCTTAAACATGTCATTCATTCTGTGAAAAGTGCCCGAGTGCAGTCCAGTAGAATCCTTAAAAGACGAGGTCGGAGCTTGTTGCTCCTCTGACTGTTTGGGGAGTTAGACCTCCATCGCTTAGGGCAGGACAGAACAGGTTACTTTCGCAGGGAGCAGTTTGGACGACCTTCAGTAACGGAAGTGTCCCCCCACCAGGGTGGGGCTCAGACTTGCCCTGTGGTAATTCCATTCCCGTCGCCAAGCTGGTTCCCCATGAAGGGGGAAGGTGATTTGAGAGGATCTACAGCTTGGATGTGCTTCCCTCTGCGGCGGCCGTGTCTGACACCTGGTCGTACAGGAAGCACGGAGCCTCTGGAGTCATTGGATTCCCTTGGCAAGGGTGCATGAAGAATGAAACAGCAATTTTTAGTGAAAACAAAAGCTGCCTAGGGGACTTGCTCGCACTGCCCACACTGGGTGTGTTCACTTTTAAACAGCGGTAAAACTCTTAAATAAAAGACATGCATCAAGCTTAGTACTGCAGCTGTGAGCCTCAAAATCCTGATTGAAAGGCTGCTGTGTTTTCAGGATTTATCAGTTAATAAGGCTTGATGGCTGGGAACTACATTCTGACCCTCATTCAATATCTGTCTGTCTGTCAACTTTAAATAGCAATTTTTCATCAGTAATTAATTATCATTATTTGACATCAAAGGCAGTGAAGTGCCATTCTATAAGTAACCCAATTGTGAATTTCTCATAATTAAATTTATGGGAACAAATTTGCCTTTTGCTTCACATGTTGCTGTAGCTTATAGCATGTAGATCGTAAACCAGCCAGTCAGATTTACACGTCTGTTACAGAAGCCCTGCAAACAGTGCACCCCCCCCCCCCCCCCCCCAGGAACAGCTATATTTTGTCCATTTTGACAGAGTAGTGAAGATTCGGGTTCCAGTAAGACAGTGTTGGTACTCCCAGTCCACAGAAGCTGAAATATGATTCTTCCTTAATGCACTTCGGTGTGTTCCCAAGGAAAATAAACCAAGACGAGTATATTTAGGGTTTGGTGGGAGGTGCTGACAGGTGGGCAATAAAAGCAGTGGGGGTCAGCTAGGCTGGAGTCTCAGGAACTCACCAGAGTTCCCAGTAGCCGCGGCTCCAGGTTTCCTTGACCAGTCCATATGGATGGGACTGTTTTTTGTTTTTTTTTTTCCTAGATTCTGTCACTTGCTTGTCTTGCTAACCATTTAATTAGGCCTTTGAAGCAGATCCCCCCCCCCCCCCCCCCCCCCCCCCGCCGCCTTTTAATTAGGACGTTAGACAGAGCTGGAGAGCCTGCAGCGGAGGCATTGATCCCTGCAGACGTGATCATGTTGTAACATAGCACAGGCAGGCTGCAGTCTCCTTTGAAATCTTACCCTGTGAAGGAAGGGGACCCCTTCAGATCGTTTGGCCGACCAAAGCTAGACAGAAAAGTGCATTATCGTGCGTTAAAAAGCACTATAATGCGGTGATGTCATTATTTTTGTGGAAAACCACAGGCGTTCGCGTCATTGTATGTTTTTCGCATTGGTGCCCAAGCCCCAGCAGATCGGGTGTTCTTCCGGAAGGCTCCGTACCTGAAAAATGCTTGGTCAGTAAGAGGTGACATCACCAGGGACTCTTTAGAGGGAGAGTTGTTGTCCAGAGACACAGTGAAACCAAGCCTGTGTAACTCAATACATTAAAAACACTCTCACTTACTGTAAACACCGGAGTTACCATGACGAAGGCAAAGCCTGGTTGTCTCGAAGATCCAACTGCTTAAGCAAACAAAGCTGATCCTTTCTTGCGGTACTTCAAATAAAGATTGATTCTTCTTGTAATGATTATTGTTGTTTTTCTGCTTTGTGCGTGCAGTTCTTCAGGGCATGTTTACAGTACGTGTTGTTCTTGGTACACAAGCTTTTTCTGTGTCGGCTAACAGAGGAAGATGCAGGTGTGAAGCAGAGCCAAGGCGACACGGGCCATCACACCTGCGCCTCGAGCCGGCTAGCGGTGCATCGTGAGACGGTGAGCCTCTTGGTGCCTCCTGCGAGAGCCATTTCCCACCATGGCTCTCTGACTTCGCCCGAGCAAGCCCACTGTTTTCAGCAGTCGGCTATTCGCTGCAGGGGACAGGGATCTGGAAGGATCTGGAAGACATGAAGACGGGGTTTTTTATTAAGTTTGACAAGTCATCATCCAAACTACCCCCCCCCCCCCAACCCCACCTGGGTGTGGCATGGGCGGGAGGCCAGTTTGGTGTAGATGTGACTTGAAAGAAAAGTGGAGGTATCGCTCAGCATAAGTCTGACCGGATGTCATGGCGGTTTATGCCTGTAATGATCTATCCTTAATAACAGAGAGTGCTGGCCTGCCGTGGGCATGCTCCGCCGCAGGGGAACGCGCCAAGGTCGCTCCGTTTACTGCGCCTCTATTTGATAGCAGCCTTCTCTCTCTCTCCCTCCCTCTGTTCTTTTGCTCTCTCTCTCTCCCTTCTTTCATTTGTGCCCTCATTATTATTTTTTTGTTTAATTTTCAGAGGCCTTAGTGTCGTAACACTCTTTCGTTTAATCGTGTGCCACGGCTGTATGAAAACTGGGGGGGGGGGTGCTGAACGTGGTATTTCCCTTGTCTTTGGCAGCTCTGTAGCTTTCACACGCAGCATGGTATTCCAGGGAGTGATTTAACTCCCCCGCCCCCCCCAAGAATTTTCAGAACTTTTTGACCTTTATGCCAAATAAATGGAGTGGGGTGTCTTTCCTAACGTCACCCACACCCCAGGTGAGCACCTTCTCCAGCTCCCCACTTGGTACTTTTTTGTTTGATGTGGTGGTGCTTCAGACTTAAACCATCAGGAGAGGATGTCGCTCGTCCATCTGGACTGGAGTCACATGGTGTGAAAGTGCTATCGTCCAACAAAGCGTTTCAGACCCATATTTTGTGAGGCCACGCCCTATAGCGGCCCCAGCCTTAGACAAACAGAGCTTCAGTGGCTCACTGTATTTACTCAGGGAGGCCCAAAGTATCCAGGGAAGTGACAGGCACAGATAGTTCAGAGAGGGGGAAGCAGAACCTGACCTGTCTGCGACGTAGCTATGAGTGTTAGCAACCCGCTAACCCTGTTAGCATGCCGCGCGTTGCCTTTCACATTTTACGGTGAAATTCCTGTGGCTTGCCGTTGTTGTTTTTTAATGACGCAAAAATGGGTGTCTGCTTTCGGCATTCCCATGTGCGGTGCGGGACGCTTTTCACAGGTAGGGCGCTAATGAGCCAGGTTTCGGTATCACGTTCCACCTGTTATCCCTGCGAAAGTCGCGCCGGCAACCGCGGTGGGTGTCACTCCTTCCATTAACCACAGCAATGCTGAAAAAACAGCCCGGGGGCACTTTATGTCCACAGAACAGAAGGCACATTTGAAGCAGGCTCTATTCTATTTTTTATATTCAAATTCATTTAGTAGTGAGAGTAAGAATTAAATTACCATAATGTGATTCCGCCCAGGAGAGGTTGGGGATGTGGCTGAAGCCTCGTCGGGGAGTTTGCTAACGCTTCGCGATTGACCAGGGTTTTGGAACAAAAACATGTCTTTATGTTTCCCGCCTACGGAAAACACACCGAATGTACTGAACAGTGAATTTTTTGCACCTTTAAACCTGATAAGAATAAAGAAAATAGACTCTCATAAATAAAATGAAAAAGTTGACAGTAGGGCTTTTTAGGTCTGAGTGCTAAACCTCAGTAGCCCTGAGGAGATTTGAACCCAGAATCACTGGGTCACCAGGTCAGTGCGCCAGTAGGTTGTTTGGAGCGAGTGTCAGATTTTTCTTACAGATTTAATCACTACATACTGTTTCTGGTTGGGGGATGGTTACATTTATTTGGGTGGACCCAGCATGACCTTATTGGGAATGGCTATCTTCTGACACCCATTTACGATCCCTGAGGAAATTCGCCGGTCATTCTCATCTGCCTGCCCCCGTCAGCAAGGGTGCAATCAGGACTGGAGAGCCGCTTTATAGACACGCAGTGGCACACTTTGCAGGGAGGTCCTCCGTCCCTGATACCAAGGGACGGGGACTCGGGTCCCAGGACATGCGAAATCGGCCCAACGGCATACGTTTTCCAAATTCCAGCGGCCTTTCTGTGAGCCTCTGGGTCCCCCACCCCCCAATACCTCTCCTTTTGTCTGGTGACAGTTGACAAAAATTGCAGCTCAGTCCAGAACATTCCATCTACACACGCGTTCCGGTTTCTGTGGACAAGTCCCAATCTGACGCTTCATGTCAGCGTTGAAAGTGGGCCAAAAGAGAGCTTTTTAGTCGTGACTCATGCTGCAAGAAGACTTTTTAAAAACCCCAAAAGCATCAGGGGACAGAATGTGACTGAGACCCCGAGAAGATTCCTCCCCGTCGTGAATGCGGCCTTCCTCTGCATGGTCCTGCCTTTACGCCCATCTCCCCTCTGGTTCCAACAGTGCCCGGAAGCCTTGGCTGCTTTACAGACAGCGGGGAGCCCCCAACACTGACGGGGACCAGCGAGACGTCCAACAAGCTCACCATCCAGAACTGCATCAGCTTCTGCCGGAAGCAGAAGTACAAGGTGAGTAGAATGACTCAGGGTGGCCGTGAATCACGGCAAACTTTAGGCCCAGTGGCAGTTTTCCTGAATAATACAGCAGGAAATCAAACAAATCCAATTCTCAGCAAAACACTCATTCGGCGAATCAGATCTATATCTGTTTATGAAAGCTTTCCCTACGGTCCATGTAATGCGCACAATCGTAGGTGATATGCAAAACAACCAAAACCAATATACACAATGCGCTAGTTTCTTCCGAATCACAATGACTTTCTGTAAGCGTGCTGAGATGACACATTGTTGGAAGTGAAGATTTATTTTCTGTTTTTGACATTTTGAACAGCCTAAAGTCTTTGTATTGGGAGATAAGTTTTGGTGAACAGCATTGGCTATCAGAGGGCGGCATCGAATGCGCATAGGGCACATGCTGCCTTTTTCAGAGAAAGCCTCAGCTGCAGCTTTCACACGATTATTCACATCGTTGGTTTTTAGCTCATATCTCCAGTGTACATACAGCCCATTAACTGCGATTGACGATGAAGAGTCGAGTCTGTGCCCTGTTCAGGCATGGGAGCCATAAAAATGCCCAAACGGCCACACACAGACACACACACACACACACACAGACCTGTACTCATATCTTTGTGGGGACCATCCATTCATTTCTACAGGAAAAACCCCAATCCCAACAATGACGACCTTAACCCCTACCCAGCCCTAACCCTAACCATGAGCATCCAAACAAAATACAAGTCTTTTGGCATTTTTATTTTTTAACTGCGTACACAGATTTTTATACATTGTGAGGACATTTGGTCACCACAATGTAATATATACATAACACCCCCCCCACACACACACACGCAAACACACACTCCAATGCATGATGGCATTATACCTGAATTCAGAAAAAAATATCTTAGAATGCTGAAATGGACACATAGACATATGAAGCTAATTAAAGCTAGCAGCAAGCTAAGTGTAGTGCAATGCATTTTTTCATAGCATATGTTGACCTATTGATCTGCAAGTAATTTTCCAGTTACATGGGGAGCTGGCTGCATTTAAAGATACCCTCGAGCATCCAGCTCTCTGCTGTGGCCAAACATGTCCAACTATATTAGGAACATTTGAAATGTAGAAATGCAGTGTAGAAATACAGTTACAGAACATCAGGAGTATGGAGATATATCCCTATACCATCTTCTATCCATCATTTTTCATTAATGTGCATTTTAAGGAAATCTCAAATAGTCAGACATATATATTTCAAAAACCTGTTTTGGGGACCATGATAATCCCAGTATAGAGCCTGTATGTTAGTGAGGGTGCGGAAAGGGGCTCTCACTGGTAAGAAATGACCCAGTGATGTGTTTGATGCACAGGGAGACTGTCCATGTGGAGACTGATTGTCAACACGGACAGTAATCCCTAAATCTCCCCACCAAAAATTAGCTTGCAGGGATGGAATCGGGGTACGCCTGTTTCTGCGGCAATGACCTAGACTACCGTCTGCACGGGGAGGCGGCCAGCTCCGAGTGCAACCACGTGTGCTTCGGGGATCACACCCAGCCCTGCGGGGGCGACGGCCGTGTCATCATCTTCGACAGTGAGTGTGGGGCGAACGGGGCTTCCGAATCCACCGGGGGTGGGGGTGCTGTCAGTCACTGACCTGTTTCACCCAACGGGAAGGGAGTCAAACCAGCGATGGAGCACAGGCACTGCGGGTTTGGGGGCCTGTCCTAACTCTCCCCAACGCATAATTCATCGCTTCATTTCACATGTCGCTAATTAGACCCTATCTGGGATCTTTAAGTCCGTGAGCTGATCATATGAATTAACAACTAGTAATGAACTAGTTTAATACTGTTATTGAATTCATAAGCCTTTTGCAGATCCCAAAGCTGTTTGAACTCTTCATCATCATTAATATCGTCTTGCTTGTATGTTTTTCCTTATGTCACGACCTGAACCAAAACGAATTCTTTGTCCTTTTCATACTTGCCAAATAAAAGGATTCTGATGCTGCCTTCGTGTGCTCCTCAGAAAGTCCTACTTCCCACTTATGAAGTCGGATTTACAAGTATGCCGTATTCAAATGCTTCGCTGTCAGGGAAAAACCAAAACATGGCAAGTGCAAAATTTTAGCTAATGTGAGCTAATGTGATAGTTGATAACTATGGAGAGAATAGCAAATAGCTTTGTTTTATATTAAGTGAAGTGTACACAGACTGCAGATGTACACAAGCAACAGTTAGCAATAGCTGTATTGCTAAAAAATGAACAATTACGAACCATCTGCCATGTTGAAAAGTTGAAGGTCTTCCCAACTCAAGAACTCGGGTATCAAAGTCATTTCTGAATTTCCCACTCGAAAGTATGAGTTCATGTGTGAATTCCTAGTTGATGACTTGTATTTGCTGTAATATATTTGCTGTAATTCCGATGCGTGAAGGCAGCATGACCCGCATTCTGGAATGTCTGATGGTAGCACTTGGTCTCCTTGCCTATACTGAGTATTTTTCCCCCACAGCACGTGTGGGGGCCTGTGGGGGTAACTACACCTCCCCCTCCGCCGTGGTGTATTCCCCAGACTTCCCAGACAACTACAACACAGGCCGGGCCTGCTACTGGACCATACAGGTGCCGGGCGCCTCGGCCATCCTGTTCAACTTCACCTTCTTCGAAATCATTGACCAAACTGACATGGTGGAGCTGCTGGATGGGCACACGAATCATGTGGTGGCTCGCTTTGATGGGCGAAATCCACCACGCTCCGCGATCAACATCACCGCTGACTTTGTCATCCTCTACTTTTACTCGGACAGAACCAATCAAGCCCAAGGTTTTGCTGTCCTGTACCAAGGTAATGTGCTCTGTTTTTTAGTCTAGAACTGACTAGAATAGTGCCTGGAACAGTGTTTCCCAACCCGGTCCTCTGGGACCCACAGACGGTCCACATCTTTTTCGTACCAGGATCTGGGAGGGAGAAAAAATCGTGGACTTTCTGTGGGTGCCCGAGGACCGGATTGAGAAGCACTGATCTAGAAACAAAATTTACAATTTATCTGGGTCTATCCTTCCCAAAATACCTGATTTTACTGAAGCATGTTAAGTTGAATACCTTTGTGCAGTGGTACAATCAGTAAATTCTCTCCAGTGAACTTCACAGCGACCTTTGGGTTGAAGTCAGAGCCCTCACCTTCTTCACACATTTCCTAGCATGTTTAATCTATTTATGCGTCTCCCAGTCGCTGTTAAGCTGCTTCACGTGTCTCGTAAGGCATGTATTTTTCCAAATCTGCCATTTCCTCATTACTCAGGATCAAATCCTATCAAGGGCTTCCCATAGGAAACGTCTAAGTCCCCTTATAAGCCTGTGACTGCAGCCTCTAGGCACTGACAGTTTGACAGTCTCATCATAACTGTACTTCAAGCCTCATTGCACATCTACATGTTTACAATCCATTTATCATTTAACAATACATCTCCATACACATAATCTATGCAAATATATGTCTTCAGTTTATGAAGCAGGGAGATAGAGAATCAGTTTAGTGGACAATTGCAAATTTATCAGCCTCAATAAACCGGTGATACTGTTGTTTGTAGTAAGATACATATATTATGTACAGTATTTGAGGTGCTGTTGTTGCACTGGCTTGGAGGCCTCTGAGGAGACCCTGAAGGACCTTCTCTCTGGGGGTCTACAGGTCATACAGTTCAGCTCTGCAGGATGATAATGACTAGAGAGCGGGTGTCACACCTGGGTTGCCTTTTTAGCTCTGGGTCCTATTTCCCGAAGGTCTTGCAAAAACCTGCCCTGAATTTTTTTTTTTTACATCATTGGTACCAAAAAATCAGAGAGAGTCAGGAGGTAAGCAGGCGTCTTATCGCTGTCTCTCGGGTCCATGCATGTGCTGCAGTTAATGCGAGCGATGGCTGCCTAGTCTGTCTCCCCGTTTGGTCGTCGTCTGGCTTCTCTCCCTCATTGCCACATTCAAGGCTCCCAAAAGTTCCCAAGGTGCCAAAAGGTCATTCGAAAAATCTCTGTCCACCCTGGCCCCCGGGCGTCCACAGCCCACACTTTTTGAGCTCTATTAACTTCCTGTTCCATGTTTTCATGGGAGGGACAAGGCTTCCAGATGACATTTGGCTGATTTGCTTGTTGACCTGCTGTTAGAATATTATATTTAAGTTTAAATGTCTGGAAAATTAGTTGGCTGTGACCATGCATTGGAGAGCCAGTAATGGAAAATGGATGGATGGATGGATGGATGGCTAAAAATGCTTTGAGTTTTATGCCCGCTTGAATTTTTTATAAGTATTATTTTCATTAAATTATCAATTCTGCCCTACTGCTCCCTGTTCAACAAGCTAATTTTCTGCAATATTAAATCTTATGGATGCATTTTCACCAATATAAGATGTTCTTGTTGGATGATTCATTCATAATTCATTCCCATTTCAGTTCACATAGTCCCCAGTTACCACTGAACTTATTAAACTGAATCCTGTTTTGTGTGTGTGTGTGTTTTCAGCACTGAAGGCCCCAGAGCCCAGGCCTAAGGAGGAAGACAAGGGCGTGGGGGGGGAGGCGAGCCTGCCGGCTAGCACAGCCGAGCCCTCACTGGAGAGTGTCACAGGGAAGTCCAATGACAGCACTGCTGGCCAGTCTTCCCAGATTCTGTATGTGATAACATCTAGCCCAACCATGCCTGACCACAACATGCCAGGTGAGGGCGCCAGACGCAGGGCTGGGCTCACACACCTGTGCCCTTCGGCTATATTTGTCCCTCATTTATCAAAAGCTTATTGTTCCTACTTCAGTTTTCATGTCTATTTCTCTGTTTCATTTCCTTTCTCTCTTTATTCTTTTCATTGGTTCACTGCATACCTGTTGACTATGGTGCCTAACCTGATCTCATTTCCACTCCCATCTTCACGCAGTGTGGACCATCTACGCTCTGGCTGCCCTTCTGACTCTGACGGTCATAGCCATGATTGCAAAATTACTCCTTCACATCACTGTCAAGTAAGTGCAGTGTTCCCTCCCTGGTGTGGCTGGGGAACAGCTGGCTGTGTCTCCCTGAAGCCCACGTTACCAGAAAAAATAGAAAAAAAACATTTAATTGGGGGACAGTTGAACAGCATTTGACAGTAACCTCACAATGGATTAAACTAAAGCAGAATCGAGGCAGGGTGTAGTTTATGACCGATGGGGAAATGAGCCTTTTGGGATCTACTGTTGGGTCAATCATCATCCTTCTTAACCAATAGGGAACATGACTAACAAGAAGTGACCTTCTCCCATCACTGTGGAGAAGCAAGATTCTGAGTTGAGATGGTACGACCCAAAGGTCTTGACCTACTTGTCCTTTTTCCTGCCCTGTTTAGATCTCCAACCATACCTTCCATCAGCAGCTCTGAGGCCTGCAGCCAGAATGAGCCCTGGATCATCTTCTACCGGCCGTCCACCATATCTTTCTTCAAGAAGAAGCTGAAGAATCACCACGGTGACCTCAGTCCCCTGGTGGGGAACTAGGGAAGGGGCAAACCGACCTGCAGTCTACCCCCAACCCAGGCTTCTGCGGTCTCTGGACCAAGTCTTTCGGGAGCTGCTGTGGAGGACACGTAAAAAATAAATAAATTAACCACACAAGGTGACTAAAGACAGAAACCGACCAGCTGGCAGGGGATGAGGTGACCAGACTTGGCCGAGCGAAGAGGTCAGAGAAGACAACACATGACCACCAGGACTGCTGGACCTTGGTGCCATCGCGCTGGACCCCAGACAGTAATCAGTTGCTAGCTAAGCACAGGTAGTCATGGCAAGGACATGGTTTCCCCCCCTGCCAGACAAATCCCACCCTCATCCAGAAATGCTGACCTTTCAGGGCCTCATCCATACCCTAGAGCCGGTTCTGGTTGTGATTTGTTTTAAAGGCTCTTATTCAAATGCCCTGGTTGGACAGCTGGGAATTGACAGGAGGAAAAAAAGCAATATCATACATGGTGGAACCACTTTAATAGGAAGGTCGCTAAGGGGGGACCGCCATGATGGGAAGGTCGCTAAGGGGGGACCGCCATGATGGGAAGGTCACAAAGGGGAACCAACATGATAGGAAGGTCACAAAGGGGGACCATCATGATGGGAAGGTCACAAAGGGGAACCACCATGATGGGAAGGTCACAAAGGGGAACCGCCATGATGGGAATGTCAGTCTTCTCCATGTAGGTTACGTCTCATTACATGTCCTGCGTGCTCTTTTCCCTGGGTGATATTTCTGTTTGGTTTGGGGTTCCTGTGGAAGGAGGAAACTTACAAACTTTCATCCAGACTGGGGGAAAAAAACCAAAAAAAAGAGACATTTGCGGGTAAAAGGCATGAGTCCATTGGGGCAGTTACCTCATTTAGGTGATTCTGAAATCTGTTCAGACTTCCTTGGGACAGTTTGTTTCCTCCACCTCAGGTGGACTGGGTTTCAAGTGCCTTACAAACTGAGCTACCAGTCTGGATATTTCTTTATTGGGAGTTATTGTCATTGATGCCCTTAATTTATTTAAATTTTATCTGTGTGACAGTGCTAATGCTTTGCAAAAGCATGTAAATATTAGAAGAGACCAACATTATTGACACTCAAAGCACCATTTATCCTTGCTCTTATGCCAGACAGACTTAGACATGTAATATACTGAAATGTTGCTTTTTTACTAAAGATGCAGTGTTGATACATGTGACAGTATGCAGATTAGCTTCCTGGACTCATAAATTGGGCAGTGGTGCTGGCCTGATATTTGGGTATCTGACCTGGTTGCCTAACGGCTGGGAGGTTCTCTAAGGAGATATCCGTTGTACCCTTAGGCAAAATTACTTCAGCACATATTTGGCCATATAAATAAATAAGCACATCTACCAAGCAAACATGGTTATTTATTTAATGATAATGCAATAAGACTATTATGCACCAGGCTCTGGTGCTTGAAAACACATGCATTCCAAAATGACCAGTCTGAGATCTACTGCTCACATCTCTAACAGACTAAAGGAGCTTCCTGTTCAGAAGTAACTAGCAGTACCTCTAAATGTTGCAGCTCATTCTGTCTAACGACAACCTGATTTTCCTGATTTCACGGAACACCAGACACACACACCTCCCTGAATTGTTCCCGAATTTCAGGGACGAGCTCAGAAGCCTTCACGCTGAAAGCGTTAAAGTTAAAAAACCGTGCAGATAAGAGACGTTTGTTAAACAGTGCATATCGCGATTGTTTTTTTATTTTTAATATATGTTTGTAAGTATGGGTATTTAAAACACTGTTTTTCATGGTCCGTGGCGGCGTCATGCATCCATAATACATTTATGCATACTTAATGCATCCATAAATTCCATCAGAAATGTCTGAAGCCCTAATTTATTGCTCAGTGTGGGAGGTAACCGCTTCAGGATGCAGTAAAACAACCCGGTCTCACTTATCAGGTGAAAGCATTTGTACTGAGTGTCTTCGCCTGTAATAAAGGCTTTAGTCGGCCGGCTACTCAAAGACCAAAATATAGACGCACTTAATTTGACCTCACAAAATCTGATTGCTGTACGATTTGCGTACTGATAGGATCGGTAAATCCTGCATGGGCTGGAGATAATACTGCGGAAAAATTGTTTTGCCCAGTAGGAGAGTCTGCCTGAGCTCTTAGCTTTCATAGCAATATACAATATATTTCTGGTTCGTTACTTTTAATCCAGATGATTTCTTTCTATCTACGAGTCTGTGTGATTGAGATACTGTTTTATTATCAGAGTTGTAATTACGTCAATTATTTCAAGACTGAAAATGTTGTGATTCTAGACATAAGTAGAATGACTATTTTGGATTTTCAAGCAAGACAGATGGAAAGCCGCTCATTCATAATAAATATTCATTTTTTTTAATGAGATTTTAAAAAGTTTCAAATTCAGGAAAAAAAGATCAAGGTATAGATTAAGGGGAAAATACATAGTAAAATATTGTTTTCGTAAAATTGTATATAAAATAGAATTTTTTAATTTATGCAGTAAATTATTATTTTGGATGTGAATGGGATATAATCTATCTTTTATATAAGTGAAGTACATTTGTAGTTTTATTTAAAGTGCTCTAAATGTAAAATAAACACGCATGTTTCTTATGTCTATTTTCTGCTGTTTCCTTTCCTTGGGCTCTCGTCTCAAAAACAGGCAGGTGAAGAGTACTGAAGCCGGAAAGAAAATTGTTTTATGTATTACAGCATCATACATGTATTTTTACATTACAGACACGTGCAGACAAGATCAACGATAATAAGCCAATGCTGCACAAGTTATAATGATCATTTTAAATACTCATCCACGTCGTTTTCATTTTTTAGTTTCATCTATCTTTTGACTGATTTATTTACATGAAAATGACTTCACTTGTGTAAAGCCTTTGTTAAAGTAGATCCTGGTATTTCCTCAAGAGTGTCACAAAAACAACAAAAGTGTGCTTTCTATAATGGAATAAGTGCTTCTTCAACTGCAATATGCAACCCGGGATTATTCCAAAAGGAAATATTTTTTCGTTACTTGCACGCATAAACATGTAATTAAGATTCGTTTCTCTCTGTTCCAGATAGTTATGTTCTGGGGATTAATGACTGAACCGTCAATACTGAATCCGAGCCTTGGGCACTTCGCCTAACAAAGTTTGAAGCAAGACAGCGATGGTCAAAGTATGTTTAGGATCAGTCGACATGTGCGTAAATCAAAACCGGCGAATGGATCCAGCCTAATAATCAAGTTTCCCCGTGAATGGGTGGAGACCTCACCCCCCGACCCCCCCTCAATGTTCAAACCAGTTACGCCCTTGTCAGTAGTAATATTTTGTAATTCTTGTTTTTAGAAAAAGTAACAATGTGACGCGGTCCTTGCGCGCCACCTAGTGGTGCTTACGAGTATGTTGCCTAACATAGCCGAGAGAGAGAGAGAGAGAGAGAGAGAACACTTTGTTGACGTCTGGAGACTAAAACTTCACAAAACATCTCCATCAATACATACGTGATAACATTTAAATTGGTCATCGATTTTCTTAAAAGTCATTTTGAGTCACTTGCACTGATGAACAGAGTACTCTCTGCTCCCGTTCCCCAGTTCGAAGTCCTGTAATTATCTAACCCGATATTTTCAGACATGAAAGCTAATATAAAGAAAAGAACACACTTAAAAGTCTATTCATGCTAAACAGTGGGGAGAGTCGATACCTCTTTCACTAAAGGTAGATATGCCGAGCAGCCCGAAGCTGCTGTCTGGACACGCCCCTCTCTTGTCCCCTGGCTTTGATTCTGCCCCGCTGCTCTTTTTGTCCTGTCCACTGGGGCGTACTATTATTTTATCAGTTTGTAACTTGAGTCAGGGAGACCTTCCTCTTTTACCCTCTGTTACACAAAAAGATCGGGGAGACTTTTGTGTCCCCTGCGCCGCCGAGGCAAACAGGTAGCGCAGGTTCCCATCACACACCATAGAGCTGGCCATCTCAGGGCCCGCGCAAGGTTATCTGTCTCAGACTGGATCACTTTGTGATTACCTCGACAATGATGACAATGTCCCTGGTTTCTGGTGACACCCAAGAAATGCACCTTCCCCCCAATCAATGAACAAGCCGAAAAACAAAACCCGACACTTTCAGCATTCAGGGAAGGTATACATTCCCAGGGCTGTGAACATGCGTTAATTCTTACACTTTCTGTAAGTAATTTGGGCACTTATTTTAGTTCATTATAGAGAAAAGCGAGGGAAGCTGCAAGATTTGTTACACGCACATACGTCGCACGTGTGTAGTGAAACGTATTATACAAAAACAATGTTATTAGAACACATTTGCTGTAACACCAAATTATTTTACCAAATATGTATTTAATTATTAGCGTAAAAATATTGATAAATACTATAATAATACCAATCGTCCAATTTATAACGTGAGCGTAAAACTATAAGAACGCATAGGAAGCTGGTCCGGTCTCATTAATATGACTCTCTGAAATGTCTGCAACGCTTTCAAAACGTACCTATTCACTTAAAACGGTGCACCGATCTAAGAGGCCAAATGAATTTTAAATCGGTGTCTGGGTTAGCTGTGTTTTACATGAAAAGCTGGTCTGATATCCATATAACTGCATGTACACGCTACAGAAATTACTCAGCCTATTTGCAAATACGCTGTGCTTTTCATAAAGTTAAATTGCGTGCGTTGATAAACAGACGGATACTACGGAGAGACGTACATGAATCAACCCACGTAATCAGCGCAGGTATCCGTTCTGACATCCGGGACACTTGTGCGATTCCCCGGAAGTGCCACTTTCTCCAAGATGGCGGCGCCCTGTAAGCCGTGCATTCGTGCGGCTTTGCTGGGTGCCTTTGCGTTTACTCGCGGCGTATTGAACAGTCGTGTTGCTGTTCGCACTTATGCCTCCGATTCCCGTGACGGCGAGGGTATGGCCCACTTCGGTTTCCAGTCGGTCCCCGAGGGAGAGAAAGCGGAGAAAGGTAGCTAAACCCGTACACCTGGCTAAGCTGTGAGGGGGTCACTGGACTGTGGCATGGATTGTGGCATTTTAGGAGAAATGATCTCGGTGGTTTGGAGGGTCGGTAGCTGATGACAAACCGTAACCGGAGTCTTGTAATGGTTTGCTGGATGAATGTGACGAGTGACATTAAAGTGGATTCTTTATGTTACATGTTGCTCTTCCCATGTTGACCTTGGATGCATCTTATTTACGTATCAGATCCAGATTATTTTCCACAATTGTTGCATGTGTAATTGTATTTGTTTCGCTACGTTGGCAAGCAGGATGTGAATAAAATACCGGTGTAGTCCTCCAGACATTTTCGTATTATTTCTGTCCAAATATTTAAAAAGTTTGAGGCATGGAAGTGATGACAGGGTACACAAACTGGTGTGCATTGGAGAATCTGGAGTATGAATTCCTGGACCTGCATTGAAATCAGTCATTGTTTTCCTTTAGGGTTTTTGCACAGTCGGTATATCTAAAATGTATACAAACAAATTTCAAGATATGTTTTAGTTTCATGAAAAACAAACACTACAAATGCTGAACATTTACATCCTCATGGTTTATGGAAGCGTTATCAAGTGGTTTGTTTTCATATTTTAAGTGATTCAACTATTGAACTTGTTCCATATATAATCTGAAGGTGTCTCATTTTGACTTGAATGTGCCCTGCCAACCCTCACTGTCTTCCAGTGTACAAAGTGTTTGAGAGCGTAGCACAGAAGTATGACATCATGAACGACGCTATGAGCTTGGGCGTGCACCGTCTGTGGAAGGACGCCCTACTGCGCATCATGAACCCCTTGCCCGGCTGTCGTCTCCTGGATGTCGCTGGAGGGACAGGTGCCTGCTCATCCACAGCCAGCCAGACCTAAGATGCTGCACGACAGAACATCTTTCCTCTCTGATTAAATTTATGCTCAGTCGTGGTTAAACTTTCATACTGCCTTTTAAATGTCAACAACGCGGAGTGCTGTAAACGCCTTGTCTGCGTTTATGGGCTTTCTTTAGCTCCAGCTCTGCAGTAAACACACTGGACTGTGTGTGTGTCACTCTTTTTCTGACCCTGAGCAAGGTGCTCAGGCAGATCCCCGTGCCTTCGCAGGAGACATCTCCTTCCGCTTCCTGGAATATGTACGCAACCAGCAGGAGCGGCTCCTACGCCGGACCATGCGTAAGCATCAGACCCCCACCTGGCATGAGATAGCAGCCAGCTACACGTCACAACAGGCCACAGTTCTTGGGGGGTCCAGGGCGGTGGTGTGTGACATCAACAAGGAGATGTTGAAGGTGGGGAGGCAGAGAGCCAAAGACCTCAGCTATGGGACAGGTACGAGCACCCCCATTCCTTTACAGGAGAGAAGTGGTTCCTCGTGTGCTTTGATGAGCTAGATACGTTGATGGTTAAGGGGTCATGTGTGCTTTGAGTCCCATGTGTCTAGTGTGAGCTGTATCTCTCTGGCAGGGCTCTCCTGGGTGGTGGGAGATGCAGAGGAGCTGCCTTTTGAAGACGACCAGTTTGATATCTACAGCATCGCCTTTGGGATCCGGAACGTCACTCACATGGACAAGGTAGCCCTGTGACACGCCGAAGCCGCTTGTTTTCCCTGCAGGGCGCTTCCCATCCGCCGTCTTCGTACTCAGACGGCCTTTGCTAATATCCATATACAATAAGCAAAAATTGCATTTTCCACGACCTCCTCCAAGGTTGAGAACACTTAGTATAGAATGCCGTCTGTTCGTCTACCAACCACTTATCCAGCACAGGGTCTGAAGAGCTGGAAGGATATGTAAGGGCAAGGAAAATAGGACATCGGCTTGTCAAACTGTCATTTTTCCACCAGAGTTCTCCTACAATTGCTATAATTTTGGCTTCACACCTCTACGGCTGGTGATTTCAATTATCTTCTTACCCTGGTTAAGTGTGGAAGAGGGATTATTCCTAAGAAGGCTATGGAGAGTTTGCTATAATAGCAAAATAACTGCTTTAATACAGTGTTTTGGTGGAAGCATATTAGTGTGTGCAGTGATGATAATCGCCAGATGTAAGGGGAACAAGATGCAGAGGACATGTCCTTTCAGGACCTGAGCATATCACCCTAGAACCAAGGGCAGATGGCAGCGCATAGTAGGGATGAGCGAGTTCAGCATTATCTGTATCTGTATCCGTATCTGTTAACCATATGAATTATCTGTATCTGTATCTGTACTCGGAATGGGCGGGGCCTAACCCGGAAGTGGGCGGGGTTTGACCTGGAAGTGGGTCGGGTTGTCTTTAAATGGGTGGGGCTTTAACCGGTATGTTATTTTAAGCATGCAATTGATATGGGTTGATCAGAAATTGTTATATTTATTGCTGATTAGAAAACTATTTACATGACAGCATCAGCATTGAGCTTCAGATCAGTGGTTTTGATCACGATAACAAACGAACTATATACAGAACAAGTTTTGCAACAATGAATACAACACATGCGGTTGCAATTATGAAGTAAAATGTAATGAACAAGAGTTTTCATCTCAACATAACTCTTTTTTTAACTTTTAATTTTTTTATGATCAGTGTGATTTCTTTTTTTTTGGTTCTTTTTTATTTTTTTTTATTTCCCCACCAGGTATGTGTGAGTGTGTGTGAGTGAGTGAGTGAGTGAGTAAAAGAGAGACAGAGAGAGAAAGAGAGAGGGGGGGGGGAGTGTGTGTGTGTGTTTGTGTGTGTAGCTTAATTTGTAATATTAATTATACCACAACTACCTTTATTTTTTTTTATAAAATACAGCAAGAAAGTGTCAGACACTCAGTGCGTGAAGTAAAAAAAAACTGGTTAGAGCCAGCTGACGGTTTCAAAAAGAAAAAAAAAACTCCGACAGGCAGAGACGCGAGTCGCATTCTACAAACAAACCTGAAGCTGAAGAAACCCTAAACGTTAACGGAAAAAAACCCGCGATCCTGAGTGACTGAGGGAGCGACAGAGAGAGAGAGAGCGCTGTTCTCTTCTCTTCTCAGTGTTCTGTGTGTGAGTGAGCAGAGCGGGACACAGCAACACAATAAATCTGTATGTGTGTAGGGGAGGGGCGCTGTGACTAGTCTATCACAGAACGCAGACGCAGTCAGCTACCCAATGAGCATTTTTATTCAATCCGAGCACAGATATTGACTTGTATTACTCGTATGATACTCGTACTCGTCAAAAGTGCGTTATCCGTACCGGATACTCGTTTCAGCCGAGTATCCGGCTCAACTCTAGCGCATAGTGTGGCAAAAGTGTTCCTGAAGTGACTGTGGTGGTGATCTCATCAGGGCAGTGCGGTTCTGTGTGATAAGCACAGTGCAGATTAAAGGGGATGGGATTCTATTTGGCGGCAGTGGGGCGTGAGCCTCACAGCGCGGACGCATGGCACTGCGATTATCGCCCTGTCCTTCTTCCTTTGAGTTTCACCCGCTGTCTAGACGTTACCTTTTCATTTGTTGTCAGCTTTGGATTTTTATCTGGAGATAACCTGCTGGTTATAATGAAATCTTAAGTTTATCTGGCAATCTCGTGATAAGGTCGGGGCGATGTTTGTGGACCTCCCGCGTTGGCAGTGGCTCTGCTTAGCAGGTGCTACCTAAAGTCCTGCCTGGGTGTGTTTGTGTGGGGCAGGCTCTGCAGGAAGCCCACGGCATCCTGAAGCCCAGCGGCCGCTTCCTTTATTCCTGTGTGTGTGTTTGTGTGGGGCAGGCTCTGCAGGAAGCCCACGGCATCCTGAAGTCCAGCGGGCACTTCCTGTATTCCTGTGTGTGTGTTTGTGTGGGGCAGGCTCTGCAGGAAGCCCACGGCATCCTGAAGTCCAGCGGCCACTTCCTGTATTCCTGTGTGTGTGTTTTCGTGGGACAGGCTCTGCAGGAAGCCCACTGTATCCTGAAGCCCAACGGCCACTTCCTATATTCCTGTGTGTGTGTTTGTGTGGGGCAGGCTCTGCAGGAAGCCCACGGCATTCTTAAGTCCAGTGGCCGCTTCCTGTATTCTTGTGTGTGTGTTTGTGTGGGGCAGGCTCTGCAGGAAGCTCACTGCATCCTGAAGTCCAGCGGCCGCTTCCTGTATTCCTGTGTGTGTGTTTGTGTGGGGCAGGCTCTGCAGGAAGCTCACTGCATCCTGAAGTCCAGCGGTCGCTTCCTGTATTCCTGTGTGTGTGTTTGTGTGGAGCAGGCTTTGCAGGAAGCCAGTGGACGCTGCAGGAAGCCCACTATATCCTGAAGCCCAACGGCCGCTTCCTGTATTCCTGAGTGTGTGTTTTCATGGGACAGGCTCTGCAGGAAGCCCACTATATCCTGAAGCCCAACGGCCGCTTCCTGTATTCCTGAGTGTGTGTTTTCGTGGGACAGGCTCTGCAGGAAGCCCACTGTATCCTGAAGCCCAACGGCCGCTTCCTGTATTCCTCAGTGTGTGTTTTCATGGGACAGGCTCTGCAGGAAGCCCACCGTGTCCTGAAGCCCGGCGGCCGCTTCCTGTGCCTCGAGTTCAGCCATGTCTCGAACCCTGTGCTTTCCAGGTAAGAAAGAGTTTTTAAATCTGCTGGAGAAGGCATACGTGAATGGCACTCAGAGTTGTATCCTATATAGTTCGATTTTAATCCCAGGCCAGGCCTGCGTGAGGCTGAGGGCTCTGCTGCTGACAGAGACCATGAGACGATGTATTTAAAGCCCTGATTAATCCTACATAAAGGAAAAATGAAAGGGCTTTAGTGTGATCACTTCAGCATAGGAATCATGCATGTTAGTAATAAACTCGCTATACACTTAGGGATTAACTAATAAAGGTTTCTTTTTTAAAGAACTGTACATAAAAAAAATGTTGTTGTGTGATTGTCTCTGTAAAGACATCCCATGGCGTTATTTTGAGTAAACATTCTAACATGTTGATACATTATAATTAGCTATTATAGTCACGTCCGTGTGCCCTTGCCCCCCAGCTCCATGAACACCACTGTGGGTGGCTGCCCTTCGCTGCCAAGCTCGCTCTCGCCTATGTAGATAGCAGATAGCTGTACCTTATGTATCACTGGCCCGGACACCAAAGTCAAATTCTAATATTAACTTATTAGTTAGATAATTGTCATTACAACGATATATAGCCCAGCCCTAGCTACTGCACACGTCCAACACAAAAAACACAACTAAGTGTTTAACAATATGCTTTTTTGATTGACGGATCCTTGGAAGGCATCTGATATACACCAAACATAATTAAAGTTCATAGTCACATGGTAAGTAAACACAACAATAACTTACCCAATTCCTGCAGACTGGATCAATGCCCCAGTTATCTGGTTAGCGGGTCTGGTTCCGTCCATGATATTTGTTTTTCGGGCATCCAGCATCTCTTTTATTTAGCTCTCTTTTCGACTTTCTGTTTCATTAAAAAAAAAAATCTTATTCTGGTATTCCCAATTCACTCCGCATTGCTTCGTAAACTTCTGCTTTCCGCTCTGACGACTCCTGACGTCACATACAGTAAAATCCCGTTATAACAGACTTTAAGGCAAAACAGTCCGTTACATCCAGAGTTGCTGTATGCCCAGAACACAACTACAGGACACCATTTACTCATGCCACACCTCAGCAGACACACTTAATTGTTGTATAAATTATTATATTGTACATGCAGTAATCCAACTTTACCTGACCAGATGTGCGACTATTAATAATCCCGACTACGTATCTGCGCTGGATATCACCGGCACGCCACACGCCTTGTAGGCGGAGCTGCATGTCCGTTATAGCCGAACAAAACTACAGCTAAAAGCGGCCCTGGGGACCAAATTGTTTGTCCGTTATAAGCGAAATTCCATTATATGCGAGTCCGCTATATCCGATGCTTTTTCTGCATGTTCTTAAAGGCGCACGGCCGGGACCAGCGGACCTCATCCGTTATAGACGATGTTCCGTTATAAGTGAGTCCACTATAATGGGATTTTACTGTACTCCCAATTCTGGCCCAGCAGTCTTTTGGGGTCGGAAAAATGAGCTCCGGCCCGGATATATTGGCTGCCGTAATTTTTTGTGTGAATGCAACACCCGAGCCAGAATTTAGGCTCAGCCCCGGTGTGAAAGGGCTGTGTGAGTCAGGTAGAGCCAGATGGGGCAGACAAAAAGATTATTTCCCCACAGGGATCAATAAAGTCTCATAATTTAGTTACTGGTACATTACATTTATAAACCTAAGTATATCAGTATACTTGTTTTGGGTGACTGCTCTATATTATTCTGTACTGAGGTATTTACTGTATAGAATCATTCATTAATAATGAGTCGTTTCAAAGTTAACCCAAAAAGTTAACCTCAGAATTACCCCAGCATGTTCTAAAAGGCTTCGGGTATATTCCAGAGAATACGGCTGGATACCCATAATCCTCCTGTGCTGGTTTCTTACAGGATCTACGATGCCTATAGCTTTCAGCTTATCCCTGTGATCGGGGAGGTTATCGCTGGGGACTGGAACTCCTACCAGTACCTGGTGGAGAGTATTCGGCGTTTCCCTGACCAGGTGAGCACAGGAATTAGTATCCATGGCTTAGTGGGTGGAGCTGTCAGGGTTGCGGGTCTTGAATAGAACCTCGGTCCGATGGGGAGTGTGTATGTTCACTATGGGGAAGCTCAGGGAAATTTCTGACCTGTGCATGTAAACTGGCCTCCCAGTGGAGCTGTATGGAGAGGGATGGACAGTACATGTGCTGAGGTTACAGTTCAGGGGTCAAGGTGACTGACCAGCAGAGAAATGGGTCTTTTTCTTTTTTGTGTGATGTAGCATTGGAGAACCTACTATCTAGTTTCATTGTCCATTGTGCATGATGACAATAAAGTTGAGTTTGCATATCACAATGGCGTCAGTGGCTCTCCTGGGGCTGATCCCGACGCTTTTCCTAATTATGGGAATCATGACTGCATCTTGTCTCATGGGTGGGGCGTCAGGACCACATTCAGACTCTGGACTGATTTAATTATCACTCCCACCGGAATTTTAAAGAGCTGTATTTCTGGATGAAAGGTTGTAGGTTTGGCTAGACGTAGCTATAAATGGGTTCTGTAAATGCTGTTCTGGATCAGAGTCCAAAGGCTGTGTGTCCGTGCCCCAGAAGGCCCACCTGCTCTCGCTCGTTCACACGAGGCCCCGCATGTGCGTCTATCCCGCAGGAGACATTCAGTCACATGATGGCGGAGGCGGGCTTCTTCAGCGTCCGCTTCACCAACCTCACGGCCGGCGTAGTGGCCGTCCATTCAGGCTTCAAGCTCTGAAGACCTGCCGCTGGACGCAAGCGGATTGGACAGCGAGGAGGAGACACACACGGGTGACTCGCCGTCATCAGGGCCACGTCTGAGGGCCTGCTTGGGTTAGTCTAGATTGGGTCTTCTAGGATGAACTGGAGAATTTCCTATTTACTCTGAGAACCAGAAGACTTTCATTCTTCCTTATCATCCTAATCCATGCTCCAAAGTCTGCCCTTGCTAGACCTCGTCTGGCCCCAGACGGGGCTCATACAGTGTTTGTTGATCATTGTGGGATTCACGCAGATCCTATGAAGCAGTGCAAAACGTTTCTCACTCTTCTACCTTCTGGTAATGGTGGGAATGCCCTCTTTCCGTAACCGTACAAGTCCATATAAAAGTACCACAAATATCATTTTACAATCACAATAATTATACATGATTTAAGTACCAGCACTTAGTGTTTTTTTGTGTTTATACATCATTTTTGGCATGTTACTTTATCTTCAATGAGGATAGAAATCCGTGTGGAAGGAAACGGTGAATTTGTAATGTTTGAAAAAACAGTTGAGTATAAGGACATTGCAAGTCTGTGTGGTTTGTGGTTAGGTATTAAATTATGTCCCACATGCCTCTGCCAGGTTGCCATTAGACATTTTGACCTATTGTGGTTTCTAACCTGAACAGAAGGTGACACAGTGGTGTAAAAGTGTGAGACTCGTAACCACAAGGTCAGTCTAAATTTAGACATGCGTCCAGTGAGGATGACTGGGGGTGTGAAAGACGACAGTTCAACAGGACAGTTTACTTGAATAAAACTGTATATTTTTACAGGTCTTTGTACACTTTGTTACAAAATTGTATTGTACTAAAATTTAAAATCAGTTTTTGGTCAGAGAATAAATCTTTGTGTGCAATTACCATGTATTTACAATGTCTCATGTTAGTGATTTCTCAAAAAAAAAAAAAACCCTCAAACGTTCACACTCTGAACATAAGACATGGCTTAAAGATAAATATATTAGTAAATAAATATTCAGAGAACATATTTCCATAAATGAAATGGGCTGCTATACAGATACAGAAATATACACAGATCGATTTCTAGCCTTTTAAACATGAAATGGTAATGACCGAGAAAATAATTATATTTAAAAATATTACATTTTTGTACACCGTGTTTTTATACAATCCTTTTAAGTGCTACAAAAAATATAAAATTAAATAGTGACTCAAGTACCCCAAAAATGTTAGATTTGCAGTATAGATCTCTATGCAAAGGCAAGATTAGAATTGTGTTCATGAATTACAGCATATGGTTTAAGTTCATAGATAAATAGCGTTACTTAAAAAAAAAAAAAAAAAAAAAACTTGTAGCCTCTTACCAGTATGAATACATTTCATAGAAACAGTATATAAGTCTGTAAAACAAACAAGGCATGTTGACAACATTGAGAGATTTGTAATATTACAAAAAAATGGTCAGTGAAACCGCTACTGTCAGAGATGAGCCTCCTGTACTGAAATCATTCCCAAAATGTCTTCACTTTGGCCTTTTTTCGGACGCGGAGCTTAACGGTCGCTTTCTAAAAATGGCCCACATTACGACAAGTGCTTCACGCGTGTGATGCGGTCAGGGGGATGGTGGGGAATTGGCCACCGTGCCCATGTGTGGAGGTATTACTGGGGGGGGGGGGGCAGACTACAGAATAGTCACGCTTCGCCAGTGACAAGCTGGACAATTAAACTCAACGAGGAGGAGAGGGGCAAAAAAAAACTAAACTTCATTTTAACTTCACTTCAAGCAATAACTACTATCTACCTCTACAGTGCTGAAATCATTAGTTCACAAGAGTCTTGTCTTTAAAAGCTAGTTGCTACCAAGGCAGCAGTAGCCCTGAGCGATTTAGGAAGGCGGGGGGGGCAGATGGAGACCACACATCAAGCAGAAGGGGGCGGGGCCTGCCTCCAGGAAGGAAGATGCTTCAAGTCAGCCGCCATCTTAAAGAAGAGACACCACGAGGTGGCTGGTGCTAGACAATGATGGTTGTTTTTTAAATGGGGGAGTGGCACGGGTGGTGGATATTTCACGATCTTGGCTGATAATCCTATGTTTTGGTATGTCTCCAAGTTACTCGTTTTAAATATGTGTTTACTGAAGATTATGCCATCTTTTGTTGCACGTACACCAGAACACATGCATACAAGTCTTAAACAGGAAGAGAAATCCTGTATGACTGAACTCAAGAGCCACCCAGGTTGGGGAGTGTATACAGTCTTAACCAGCAGACTATGATGGTCCCGACTAAGCAGAGATGGGCTTTAGACAGCTGACACATCGGTCTTTGTTAGACACCCATCTGTATGACACTGGTTACAAAAAAAAAAAAAAAGAGTAACCCAGCCCAAGGCTGTATAGCAACTTCATTATGCCAAGTTGCTGCCCTTCCCCATAAGGATACAAGAGAACATAACAGAAATGCCAAAGGTATTATGGGAGGTCAAACTCAGGGATTGGTTATGGAGGACTGCAGCTCAATCTGTGATGAAGATATTGAACCCCCCCCCCCCCCCCATGTTGCCTTGGTGTGGTTTTACTTGCATTTACGGCTACAGGACTTAATTCATACTTAAACTGGCCCAAGGAGGTAAACAAGGATTTTGAAGGAAAAAAAAAATAATTGCTTCACAGTTATTATGGAGACATTTGGGAGACGACGAGGCTTGTTCATAGCGAAGAGCGATGGAGGTACGTCTGTCTGGGTATGACCTCCGGGGGGGTGAGCTCCTGCTCCGCTCCCTCACCTGGCGCTCCCCCGTTCTCCAGCATCTCGTGACAGGTGGCCACGTGGCTGTGGAACAGAGCCCTGGTCTCCTCTGCACATGAGACCGTTTGATCTCGGCGCTGGCCAGTGGAAAAGAACAGCTTGCTAGGCTCCTCCCACTCCACAGTCCGACCTCCCCCATCTACCTCCCCAAGCCCTACATGCTTGGCTGGCAGCAGCGCGGCCCGCGGACCGGCACCCAGCCCCAGCTCGCAGTCCCTGTCCTCGGGGATGATGGATATGCGCTGGCTGGGGTCACCGCGGTTCTGCAGCAGGCGGCTCTCCACATCAGCCTGGCCGTACTGGACGTTTACCGCGCAGTCCTCGGCATACAGGCTGCCGTTATTCCTATGGACATTAGTCTCCTTGTAAAAGCAACAGGGAAGTCCTTCATAGGCACCCTGCTCCCCAGGGCACGTGTGTTCAGAGCCGGGGGCGTACAAGTTTGCAGGGGCGGGGCTTTGGGACTCCGCCCCCCGGGCACATTTCCCCATCACCGGGAAACCAGTCCGACAGAGCTCCTGACCCCTGCCCTCCAAGTCCGCCGGCGGGATGTCAAAGCAACAGGAACAAGCCGGCCCCGGCTCCACCCCTTCGTCCAGCACCAACCCCCTGATCCGGAGATCTGGTCCGGCGCCCTCTAGTGCCCCTGCTGAGGTAGTGGTATTGGTTTCCCTGGGTTCTAGTGAGGAGCGGCTGCTGTAGTTGGGCTCCAAGCTGCAGCTGGACAGCTGGTCCCCAGACCCAAAGGAGGCACCACTGGGAGGCTGCAGGCACTCCTGCCCAAAGGCGCCCGGTGAATCATCCACAGGTGCGGGGGCAGGCCCCGGCTCCGCCGCCACCGCCCGGCAGGGGCTCCTGCTGCGGTAGACGTAGGGGTCGTAGTCGCTGCTCAGGGAGCTGCGGAAGGTAGAGCAGCTGCCGTACACGCCCTGGTTGCTGACCTCGGTGCAGTCCAGCATGGAGTCGCTAGACGAGCAGTGACACTGGCCCGAACTGTTACTGCTGCTGTCGCTGCCGGGGCAGTCGGCCAGGTAGCCGCTGCACACCGAGCGGTGGCCGTGGTAGCAGCTGAATCCGGAGGAGCTCCCGGTCTCTCCCAGGCAGGAGGTGGAGGCGGGGGCCATGTGGACAACGGCCGGATACAGCAGGCCCTGCTGGAAGGCCCGACCGTGGCCCTTCTGCAGCCCGCCGGCAGGCTGACCCTCGGCCTGGGGGAAGGTCAAGCCCTGGAAGTAGTAGTGCTGATACATGGTCTCGTACTGGGAGAAGCAGGCGGCTCGGGAGAAGCCGCGGCTGTGGAACTTGGGCCTCTTGAAGGCGTGGGGCTGGTGATACATGGGGGGGCGGTGGTCCAGCCCGCAGCGGTGCGCGTTCAGCGAATGCTCCAGGTGCACAGGCGGGTAGCCGCGAAGGAACGCCGACGACTGTGGCGGGTAAAGCGTTGGATCCGCCCGCTGGTCCACGGTCAGCACCGTGATGGGATTGCCGTGGGGATCCATGCTGGTGCGGGTTGGATACGCCGTCACCTGTCCGGCGCGGTGCACGCGCCCGGGGTAATGAACCGGGAGGACTACCCGCTGCTGTCGGCTGTGGACCGGGTTTCCTGGGTCCATGCATACAGGCCCCGGGTTCCCCTTCTTTTGCTCTGTGAAGGAGAGAGGGTCACACCACACCATGTCACCTCGTAGCTTAACGGCACACGGGGAGTTGTATCGTAGCATGTGTACATTTCCTAGCAAGACCTTCCCACACCCGGCACCGTGACACTGCAAGTCGGATCTTACCGATGATGTTGTGTCGGCAGTGTGGGCAGGTGTGGTGCTGCAAGAGCCAGGGGTCTACGCACTTCTTATGGAAACGGTGGGTGCAGGGAATCACCCTCAGCTCCTGTGGGGCCAGACAGACAAACACAGCGGGGGTCACACACGCAGCCCAGACTGAGAGGCCCCGGCGGATTCGGGCACATCCAAGTCCCCCCTCTGGAGCTGGGTGACACTCCAACAAGGGGAATTCAGTCTGGCCCATATTTTGCCAGATTCCACGGGACGGCTCTGCTCTCTGAGGCCGGGAGCGGCTGCCGTCTCCCAAACTGAGGGAGAGGTTCAGGAATTCTAGGAAACATTTCTACTGGTTACCAAATTTTTGGTACTGGGCCACGGGGGGAGGTAGAGCCCGTGAGTGAGGACGCGATGCCACCGGCTCCTGCCTGGCTCACCAGAGCTGACCGTAATAAGTGTGAAAAAAGGAAACGTCCCGTCAGGCGATGAGGGCAGTGGGTGAGAAGGTGAGTGTCCAGACAAAAATGAAATATCTATGTATAACGGTAACCACACACGTCCAGAGTGGGAGGGGATTAAATTCCGGCCCCAGCTGTGTGTGCGTGTCTGCGATGGATTGCCATCCCATCTGGAGGCTCCAGGTCTATCACGGCCCTCTGCTGGACCATTTCATTATGATGGAAGATGGATGATCTAACTGCAAAAATGGGAAGTTCTTGCTGTAGTCTGGTGGTTCCGAAGCCCTGATCCGTGGACCAGCGCTGCTACAGGACAAGTGTGTCACTGGGCCATGGAACACTGGGGCTTTTGAGGAGGGCTGGTTAATTTACAAAAATAAACCATATATTTTCAAGCCACGCCTTCGTTACGACCCCTAACAATCGCACGTTTTGACTGGCTATGACAAAAACGGAAATGAGTAAACTTAGTAAATCTGTCCCAACAATGAATCTCCTGCCAGAATCCCTGCCCCGGTCCACAGTCATCAACAGGTTGGTAACCCCAACTGTAAGATACTCCATCCATCCATCCATCCATCCAACTGCTCAGGGTCACAGAGGGCACTAGGCAAGGTTACACCCTGGGTGGCCAAATTAAAGATTAACAAAGCAATTAAACAGGATCTTTGTGGCCTTTCAGAATAGTGGAGTTTATATAGCCATACCAACACACTGCTCAGTCTAAATGTTTACTGCTGTCTGCATCGATTGTCCCTCTGCCCCACCCTCTTAAAAAATGTTAGACATAGATAAAGCAGTTTGCATTCGGTGGCTAACTGGAATCCTGACAAATCTCTGGCAGAACACTTTGTTCTGTAGTGTGGCTTGGATTATGTGTCAGGAACACTGTATGTAGGAAATGGTTTAAGGGTCCCATCTGTGGAAAATGCACTAGGCATGTCAGAAAGGAGCCTCAAGAGGGCGACAGAGACATGGCAATTATTCCCCATTCCTTGTAAGAATATTATGTAACACCTATTTAATTTATTTTATTTTTAAAAACTAACATGCTTGAGAAAAACTGAGTTCAGCGGAGTTCAGTTTTAAATTATTTATACAACTGAGATTTCTGGGAAGTAGCTCATTATATGTACCTTGCTATAGCGATAGATACGGAAGTTCCCCAAAATCCGTTTCCCCATTAGAGTAGATATGCCTCAGCGAGCTTAAAATTACCCGGGCTCAAACTTATGAACCCTGTTCCGTACTGAGGGGGGAATCGCTCCCGCTTAAGTGAAACTCGATCGGACGCATTCCTGTGAGTTTTCCTCGGGATTGCAGTTGCTAAGAGACCGCTGGGTTCCCAGCCAAAGCTATCCTCCCCCCCGCTCGCTTTCTGGTATGACTCATCCGATCTGCCCGTGTTTTTTTTTTGCGAGGGCTTTGTGTTTCTTGCTCACTAAAAATCCCTTTGATGCTATTCACCCTCTTTTATACTAGCACTTCCTCTTTACAGGCCAGACCTTTAAATGTCTTTTCAATAGCATCACATAAAAAAAAAAAAAAATTAAAAACACATATACGCCCCCAAACCGTAACAGTGCTTCCATTCTGTGACATTTTAAAACAACAGCACTGCTAACTGCTCTACTGCATGTTATCGTCTACAAGCTCCCTGCAGAGGAGGATTGATAAACCGGTACGTTAAATATCCTGACCCCTGCTGATCAATCATAGTGGCAGTGAAACGTGGTGCCCTGAGGGTGTCGGCCTTTGATGTTACGAGTGGCCTGCGAGGATGGCAGTAGGTGACAATCGGGCAGCCAGCAGCGCACAGCGGGCAATCTACATGGAGGCTGGCGTGACGGGGCAAAGCCGAAAGAGTCAAACCTTCCGTACCTCGCCATCGATGTACTTCTCCAGACAGATGGCGCAGTCGGAGGTGGAGCTACTGCTCAGCGAATCAGAGGCTCCACAGCTGCTCTCGCGAGCCCCTTTGCTCTTGGCCTTGAACTTGCGCGTCTCCATCTTCTCCAGTGCTTGGATGGCCATCCTGTTCATGGAACTCTGTGGGAGGTCCAGGATGGGGGGGGGGGGTCACACCACAGATAGCCGAGAGCCAGTCATCATTCACAGATGCTTATTAGGAACGGTGGTCAAAATCTTGAAGATCTCACCTGGCTTCTCCGCTGCTTCAGCTTGATTTTGATGAGGAGCACCAAGCAGACCAGAGACACCACCACGAAAAAGGCAAGGAAGATTCCCATGTCGAAATATTCTGTAGGCTGCTGTTGACCATCAACAGTATATTAGACATCACACAGGAAAGACATAAGAGCTCATTTAGTTACTAGCCATTTGCTACCGTCCAAGACTGTCCAGAGTTGTCATATAGTGATGCCCATAGATCATCCTTATTATACTCACCGGACTAAATTATTAAAGGCTATTATCTGTGTTAATGTGAAACACTTTTCAGGGGAACATTTTATTTAAAAAAATATGTTGCATATTTTGGCTAAGAGACTATCTCCGATGATGTATTGGATTGTATTTGTACTGAAAGCTAGTGGAAACTACTTTGTAGGGAGAGCTGTCAATGACTTGCTGAAGCAAAGCACTCTGGGGGAAAAAATCTGCATGACCTGTCCCTGTCTAATCACAGAGCATATTACCTTGTATGAAATGCCCAACAAAGGAGTATTAAGATACAGTTTTCAGTTAACCTGAAACTAGACACACAAACACCCAGTGCAACATTGCAGTCACCATGGTGGTCTTACCCTGGGTGGCCTGTGTTGGATTCTCGCCCGTGCCATCTTCTGCTTGTTCACAATGTTCATCAGCTTCACAGCATCTGTGCCCTTAACATACACCACGGGCCTTTTCAGAGGGTCCTCAGCCACTTGGTTCAGCTGGGAGGAGGGGGGGAGAGACAAGGCAACACGTTGAAACCCCAACCACAAAGTCCTCCGTAAATTCCGAATTACGCTTAATACTGGAGGCTGATTAAATAGCGCGGCCCCATGGCAAGCCACGTGAAAAACAGACCCGGAGACCTAGAAAGTACAGTCGGTTTTCCCGGGGGGGGGGGGAAGGAGTCTCAAAGGGGATTAAAGGAATTGAGTGTTCTGAATTTGGACAAAGTCAACCTCTCCCTGGTCTGCTGGGTGCCTTTTGAGTCTGCTGCTGGAGTCTGTAATTTGAAGAACCCACGGGAAATTCCAAAGCAATTCATACATTCTCCTTCTTTTTTTATCGCCACGGTTCCAACCGGAACACGCTCCTTTTTTCCCCCCTCAACACGGAGCGCTGGGACTCCGCCGGGTCCGTCGCCTGAGCTGGAGGCTTTGTTCCCGTCGGCTTACAAGCCACACAGTGGAAGCGGAGCTCTTTGAGGAAGCTGCCGCTGGCCCAGTCGCGTAGATGTGTGCTTTTTCACATCGTTTACAAAGGAGAGCGGCGGTGGGGATCTGCGACCGTGAGAGGTGCGTGTTTATGTCTACCAGAGGAAGTTCACACTTACTTGAAAATCACCTCTCGAGTTTTATTCCAACTCGCTCCCTTTATTTAATTTAGTGCAGTTCTGAATCTTAATGTTGCTTTCTACAAATTCTAAGCAACGTGACTATTTTCAGTTTGAGGGATATTCATATTGTGGTTTTTCCTTCCTTGTGGTCAATGAAGTTGATTTTTGTCCTTATACACACTAACGCTATGAATATGGGACTGCTACTCTTGGTAAATGACCAAAAACAGCAAACAAATTGCACAAAAAAAAAATGCACAAAAATGTGGGTCAATGGTTTTTGAAGCAAGTCAGTGGACAGTTCCTGCACTATTAAGACCTCAATTAAGTTGTCAAGGACATTTAGTAACTGTGTAGTGAGAAGATCCATTTTTAGCGTGGTTATTCCAATGGCTGGACCAAAGCCAAACGCACCTTGGGAATAGATCAAGTGTACCCACAAGGCCTACAGGACCAAATCTGTGAAATGTAGATATTGTTCTAGTGGCCACGGTTTGTCCAGGCCATGCCTACATGTTAGTGGGACACCACAATCCTCTTGGGGACTTTGCTTCATGATGGAACAGATTTGGAAAGCTGAACTACATTGGGCTGTGTCATTTTTCAGACTGAGGAACAGCGCTCATTTAGAAACGCAGCACACCACGAGATGCCATCTGTCTGACCACGATTATTCGGGGATAAGCACCGCAAACATTTAAAAAAATACGTCAGTCACCTGGCTGCAAGACAGCAGGTTTGTTTAGAAAAAGAGCACTGCACTGCGGCAGCGGGACACAAACCTGGTCGATGGCGTCCGGATTCTCGGAGACGTCGAAGATGACTGCTGTGGCTCCTCTCTGTACGGCTCGCTTAGCCTTAAAAGAGAGAGGACACTGTAAAAACCCACAAACAAAAACTTACAGTCAGTTAAAGTCACGCAGCCCCAACAACACCAACATGTCTGCAACAACACAAATCATGTAGATCAGTCTTTAAGTGCTGGACCATTTAAAAGATGCTGCAACATACAAATAATCAGCTTTTCCTCCACCAGTGCAATCAGTGTCCTCACTGATAATACAACAGCAGCTAGTATATAATCATCTTAAATTTCATACAGAGGAGCTTTTGGTTATAATACCCACACAACAATAACAAACTACAGAAAGAGCAAAGGCTTCAGAATTTCAAAAATGCACAAAATAGCTTGCATAATCTGTACTGTTCTCAACCAATAAAGCTTGCAATTTCCATTCCTGTCCACTAGAGGTCCCTCTCATATCAAACGAGCCAGTGATGAAAAAAATGCAAGCAATTTGCAATAATATAGGCCTACTTACTTAGCAAACTGAAGTCTTCCGCCTGAGGAAAGTTTCTTAATTCTTTGGTCTTAAGACAAGCGGGCCTACTCTGAGGATATCATTTGCTTTCAAGATTCAAGTCATTGCCATTCAAATTTTTATTCAAGGGAAACCGTTGAGAGTGCCGGCCTGGGGAAAAAGTTCAAGAGCTTCAAGAGGGGAAAAAGTATACTATAGTTCAGGATGGCTTCTGTGTTAAACTGCAGATAACAAAAATCCGGGATTCAACTTTGAACTACCGATAATGAAAACAGCAGAACCCGCAGAATACAAAAATATTTTAAAAGGAATTCCCAAGCTTTTTACAGAGACCTTTATCTTTATTTCAAATTTCTCAGCGCCCCAGTGTTACTCTAACCAGTGTGCAAGGTTCCAGCATCCTTGGGGAATTGGTTTTCACCTTCTGGCAGCCTTCTCAGACAGAAATGCAGCCACATGTGCTCGAGCCTCCGGTACAACTGTCATCACAGCACCATCCACCATAAAGAACGTGACGCCGACCTGCAGTTGCATGAGCTTGATGGCTCCCGCCAATCTGAGGGCATGACCAGATGTGAGACTTAAAAAGATATTATATTACCGCCGTTAAGATACTGCTGAGATACTGCCGTTTCAGCTCTAATGCTGAAACTTATTTTGGTGCTGCAAAAAAGAAATTAATTAAAAAAAAGCGACGAATTAAGCCAGGTTTGCAGGGCTATTAAAGCTGTTAAGTGAAAGTGAGAAAACAGGTTCCATACAGCATGCAGAATCTTTTACTACGTCATAAATGGCCAGCCCCGCAGGAATTTAACGGACTCTGTATTGCAAAGATGACTGCCTTCAAACTCTATTTAACCTTCATACAGACGCTAATGTGTGTACACTGCGTGTGGCTGCAGTCAAGCAAATGTTCGGGCTCGTCTTGGGCGATAGGAGTTCATGTGAATGTGACGCCCGCCTCTTACGGAGATGAACTGCAGGTTGGGGATGTGGATAAGGCTAGATGGCAAGATCCCATTTCCATACGGTGCAAAACTAAGAGGAGATCACTAACAGCCCGGGGAACACTGCTCACGCCATAGCAGTCTATAGTCTGCCGGCCAGCATCCGTCCTCCCTCACCTCAGCGCCGGTCAAAGAGGAAGTCTGAGGTCTGAAAACAGTGCACAGAAGCCAGATTTGTATTATTACAGGGTGCAGATAGGAAGTAATTTGTGTGCAGGAGCGGCTCTTTACTGAGACACTATGGGCAGGTTTAAGTAAACTTCCTGTAGCTCAATTTCCAGCTCGATTCCACGTGAGGAGCAGAAGTCCCCCCCCCCCCCATCCAGGGGCTTCCGAAAGAGACAGTCCAGGGCTATTCTGTCACACAGCAACGTCATGGTGTCCTGTAGCTTTGTCCGTATCCACGAAGTGATTAGTCGTTTCTCTTTCATTGCCCATTTAGCACCATCTGGCTGGGGGCTTCATGGGAAAGGCCTTGTCAGATGTCAGAAGCTACACGGTGCCTCACATGTAAGGGACTGATGGATTCCTTAAAGTCTCACAGGCATCGCTGATAAAACTTCATTCCTGTTCAACTTTCATCTAAAACAGCAAGCGGCTGACAATTCTACAAACGACCCGCAGATGCGGGATTTTGCAATATTTAGTCTGAAACCATATCCTCACTCACATTTTAGTTAAGTGACAGTTTATGTGGTACACCAGACTATCTCCCTGATTTTTTCTAAAAGGGTTTGTGTTGGGTGGTGGGGTGGGGGAGATATACCTAAAATCTTAGGTCTAACATGAGACCTGAATTGAAAACCTCATTTGTAGTCTCAATTTAAGACATTTTCTCCTCTGTGAAATTCTGAAACTATTCTTGAAAAGTTACATATAAGTTAAGACAATACAGCCTACTTTATTCACTCTACTTTAAAGAGCTAAGCAATTATCATATTGTGTTATCACCATAAAAGAGAACTTCTGCAGACTTCAACTTAAACTACCTTAATACTGCTCATGAAAATCCCCAGGTACAAATGGCTAAAAACCAAAGACTTCGCTGTCCAACATTAACACAGACTTAAATGTGAAAGCTTTTTCAGCCAGAGAGCAGATGGGCAGCAGCCAACGCTGCCTGACCCTCCCCTTCCGCTCAGACCGCATGACCGACCCTCCCTGACTACACCAACGGCCCTAAACATGCAGACCTGCAGATATTAGTGGTGGCCAGCGCCACTAAGTTGACGACAGGGACTTTAATACCCCGACGATGTCATAGAAAGTTTCATCTTCCGCTTTTATCATCATCATAGCTGGAGAGTTTTTCCTTTATAATTTGATATACCTCATGATCAAACACGGGGAGAAACCCCCCTGCCCTCCCCCTTACTGCAGGGTGCTAGGCTAAAGCCCATTTAGTTCAGTCAGAATGTGCCCCTTTGAAGTTTGCAATCCTAGTTAATAATTAATAGCTCTTGGTAAAACAGCTTAAGAAAGAAAGAATCCTCGCACTGGCAGGATATGCATTGCTGGGACTTGCCTGACGAGAGAAAAAAAAAAATGTACCTACAGGCAAACTGTAGGCCACAAAACAGCTAAAACCCCCCCATCCCTCCCAAACTCTTTTTAAACCCATCCCCATTCCCCTCTGCCAAAGCTGTGAAACACAAAGCACCCTGGGATGCGTCAAACTGGGCTCTCACAGAGTTGAAACTGGTCCTACTTCTGTCTCTCCGTAAATGTTTGGCTGTTATCATAAAGACACTGCTCCCTCCAATACCATTGTCCACCTCCCAAACACCTAGGAGTTTAGTTCCAGCTGCATTCAAGAGTTATAGGAACAATACAAGGAACAAATACTTCACCAATTGAATAGTTCTCTGCTGATACACTATTCAAACGCACTAGAGTCTCAGTTCTGATCCAGGTAAACATCACAATAAATTGACACTAGACTCACGGTAATGGTGCCAAGCAATAATGCTAAAAGAAAAATGTCTTCATTGTGACACAGACCCAATTGTCCACCTTGTCCTAGAAAAGAGTAGAAAAGAGCAATGACAGATGATGGCAAGCCTTATGAAGCTAAGGTGGAGATCCAATACAATCTGTGAGCATCTCCTGAAAGCAACCAAATCCTCCCCGAACTTGCTCATGAAAGGGATCCAGGTGTCCAGTACAGACTTCCTATTATACACGGAGAAGTCGTTCTTCACTTCTTCACAGCCATGGAGCTGGCATAATTACCAAAAAGGTTCTTTCAAGTTCACGTAGGCTGCAGGCTGCTCTGCTCCGAAGTTTCAGAAATGGCCGACACCCAGAACTAGCATGCGATTCTGGGGGACAGTGAAGCTCCAGACTTCAGAGTCAACAACAGCTCCTCAGCTGGGCCGCCTGGGATATTGGACTGTAGACAACCAGACCTTTTGCTTGAAGGCCGTACAGTTGCACTCCAGCCTCAGTGAAGCTCCACCCGCCTCACATTTAACATCTCTGTCATGTTTCATTTCACTTTTTCTTTGCTTTAGGGGAAAAACGAGCTCATCCATTCAAGACCACTGAGCCCAAGTATGCAACTGAGTGTGTGATTCCCTAAAGCTGAGGTTCACCTGCACAGAAAAACTCAGTGTCTTCACTTTGCATTTTGTTCACACTTATAATAGAATAGCAGATATATCAAATATGCCTGCTGTTGAACTCTCATCCATTCATTTTAACTTACATCAATATTATAATTAAGACAATTAGATATTCTGCAGGTTGAACTGTACTTTAGTGTAATGTTAATTCATTAATGCAAAATTTCCCCTGCCAAAGATCCCGTTTCCCTTCTTAAAAGTATGGAGGTACGTAAAATTACTGAGAGTGGCCGTCGATAACAGGTTTGGCTGCCTGCTATTTCCATAGGACACATTAGTAACGACACAGAGACCACAACACTGGTCTTGAGCAAACCTCTGTCACATGGTGGGGGTTGGAAGAATGTCTAGTGGTTGTGGTATTATATTGTGTTTCATCCACTTCAGTGGTGGTGGGGGGTTGGGTGTCACTGATCTGGAACGACACACCACTGCCCCTGTCCACCCACCTGCAACCAGAAAGATAGCCTGTTATCCATTTCGGCCCATGTGTTACAGGTATCCTCTTGAGACAAAAGGAAAAAAAAAAAAACATTAAATGAAACATTTGTCGTCTGGACCCAGGTACTATAAGATAATTTAAAAATAAACTTCACTTTTTATACCACAGAGCTAGTCTGGCTAGTCACCTAACCCTAACCAGGACCCTACACTTACCAATGACCCTGATCTTGTGATGGCCAAAATGATGCCTCATGAACCATTTGCTGTATTTTTTGACCCCACTAGATGGTGCTCTTGGTTCATTTTGGGGCATCCTGAGAGCCATCTTTTTTTGAACAGACAGCACCATCTAGTGGGGTTGAAAAATACAGCAAATGGTTCATGAAATGCTGTTTTGGTCATCACTACTCTGATCCTAGCCACCTAACCATAACCATAGAAATTTATAAACATCTAGCTGGTCACAGGGCATTTGTAACACAAAACATTTATGCAATTTTCTTTTAATGGCCGAAAAGAACTTCCCAGCCAACAAGATAGACAACACGCTAAGCACCTAATGCTGCACATGCTTGAGAGACCAAGGGTTGCTCTGCGGCTTTACAGCCATCAATGCAATCAAGAAGTCAGAGACAAACAGAAGATGCTCAGGGTAACACGTGGCTCTTGAGTCAAACCGAGATCAAGGGAAGATCAGAGGTGCAGCAGTGAGTCTTAACTATATTGTACATATTTAGCTCAGTATCCAACTACACGCAAACCATTTAAAGCTAATCACTGACAAGAAAGCAGAGCTAGGGGTCAACTTTGTCCAGCAAAGTAAAAGACAGAACATTTCCCATTAAAAGTTTCTTCACAATTGTTCAGAGGCGGTTAACACGGATCATTTTTCCTTCACTGTCACCATGGGAACATCAAAAAGGGTATTATCGTTTAAGATTCAAAAAGTTTATACGAACCATACAAACCACACCAAATTATAAAACTGTACAATTCAATAGGTATATGTAAGGTATTGTTCAGTTGCTGTTCCATCCATCCATCCATCCACTACAGGGTCGAGGGGTGCTGCTCTTTCAACTCTTGATTAAAAACTGAAACGGTTAGGTTAAAAATTTACATTCTCAAAAGCAAAGCCTTGCCAAAAAAATGTAGCCCTTGATATCTTTCACCAAGTTAATAGCCTCAGAAACGTCCTTAGTGGACCTTATCTCCACTTGTCCTAGACATCCAGGTTTAACTTCGGTTGACAAGCTGACAAATACACGAAAAGTGGTTTCTGGCCCTTCAAATAGCTCCAAAAGGCAAAAGCTATCCAGCAAAATAGCAAGCCCCATGCCATCAGTTCCCCATAACCAGCCCTGACAGCACTTACGAGCAGAACACAGAACCCTGTGTGGCCTCCTCACTCAGAGTAAGACGTTAAGTTATTTTCCCAGGAAAGATTTGATATTAAAGGAAGTTATTTATAAGTTCCCATTTTTCCTTTCAGCAGAGTACTCCATATGATTTGGCAATCAACCTGGTGGCTCTGAAGTACTGCAGAATTAATGAACTCCAGTCTGCACTGTGGCTTCAGGGGCAATCAAAGCACGAGTCGGCAGATTCTGCCGGGAAAAGGGGCTTCGCCACTCGGCTAGCAGACCGACCCAGCCAGAGGGGAGCCCCGAGACCGCAGGAAAAGCAGCACTCCTATCAAAGCCTTATCAAATCTTCAAGGAAGGGAACCATCTGCCTCGAGCTTTCCACCGAAATCGGCCAAATCGTCTTCTTCACAGAGAGGTCCCAGGAGCATAAAATGTGAAAGGCAAGAAAAAGGAACAGCCCACCCCCCCAACCCCCCGACCCAGGAGAGGAATGCTGGGCAGCAAACACAGAAGGATGGCCAACTGGTCCTGACGTGAACTCTTAGAAGCGTGAACCATTGTGTGACAGTTGAGAGAGAAGGGGCCCAAATCAAATTTAATGAGAGCATCCTCTCTGCATTTCAGAATCCAAGGCCCCATTTCTGGGCAGCTCATTTTAAAGTCCAGCTCAAGATGAGGATCCGAACTATTCAGCATTAATCAAAATTAATAGGCCCACCCACTCTGCTAATAAACGCTACTTGTTCGGACTGTCTAATAGCTCTCGATAACGTTACCATCGATTACGTCCGGCGCCACGTAGCTTCACGCCACATGCTCACATACATGTCAATAACTCCTAAGTCACTCCGGCTGTGTCATCCTGCTGCTGCTGCAAGAGCTGGATCTTGGTCACCTTCACACCTTCCTCCCACCGTTACATTCACCCATCTGCAGGTGGCTTTACCAGACCAGCTTCTTGTGGGCAGTGGTGACTTAATGGTCAGGGAAGCACATTTCTAATTGAAAGATTGCTGGTTCAAATCCCCGACCAGCAAGGCAGCACTGAGGTACCCTGAGCAAGGTATCAACCCCACGCACTGCTCCCCGGGTGCTGAATTAGCTGCCCCCTGCTATGTCACGATGTCACATATGGGTTAAATGCAGAGGACACATTTTGTTGTTGTCCACTGTGTGCTGTGTCGTGTCAACAATGATCACTGATCACCAAATCTGCTTAAGTATAAAAAGCCAAAAAAACTAACCAAACAGAAGGAAAATAATTATTCTGCATGACCTTTAACATACACTGGTTAAATTTAACAGCTGATCTAGTGCTATGAGGAGAACGCCTGTACCGGCAGGAACCTGTAACGGGATTTCCTCAAACCATCATTAACTTCCTTTTCTAATATATGTTTATAGGCAGATAAAAGCCAGCTCGTGTGTCCACACACTGAGGCATTATTACAGTGGGGGGAGCACACACTCCACAGGCCCCTCCACCATCCCCCCCCCCCCTCCTCTTTCTGTCTTTCTCACATATGACCCTTTTAACTCCTTTACTAGATACTTTGGTTAATCATTTTTTTCCAGCACCCCCCCCCCCTCCCCAACTTCCCTGCACCAGATTACAAATACTGGCACTGCTCATTTTTTGTTGTGAAATCCGGGAGGAATTTTTTTTTTTTACTAAATTAATACTGAGCCGCATGCCCACCCAAACAAGAGCGTCTCCTCTTGCTCTCTTACCCCCAGACCAAACATACCCTGGATCACTTATGCAAAGCATAAATAATTATGAAGCACCAACCCTTGCAGCATAATCATAATCATCTCTCTGACACAGTCACTGGGGATCGATCAGAGTTCCGTTTTTTTTTAAATTATTATACAATTTTTATTTTATTATACATGTGATGACGACATCAGGCTATTAATGCAGTTTCTGTGCCTTCTCCCTCCAAATAACCGACAATGTAAATCTGAGACTGGCATCCCGTTCAGGGTGTACCCTTGTGCTCCCTGGGGCCGGCTACCAGCCCTCACCAAGATGGACGAATGGATGGATGGATGGATGGATATAC